CTTTCACTCCCGCGACGTCACCTTTGAAGAGTCCGTCTCCTTCTACCGCCGCTTCCCCCACCGAGGTCCCTCAGTTACTCCCCCCCTGTTCCTAGTCACCCCTTCTCCGGTGGTCCCTGCCCCTCCCCCTCCCCCTCCCCGTCCTGCCCTGTCTGGTGTGTCCCACGTCACCCCCCCTTACGTCGGTTGTCCTGGTCGAGGAGTCTGCTGACTCTAGCGGTCCTGCGGTGTAGTCCTTGCCGCCTGCCCCTCCCCAGGTGTCTCCTCCTCTGCCGCCTCCGCAGCCGCCGTCTCCACCGCTGTCGCAACCGCCGGCACCGCCGTCGCCGCCGCCGTAGCCGTCGTTGTAGCCACCGCCGCCACAACTGTCGCAGCAGCAGTTCGTTGACTCTGGGGGTGCTGGAGTTGGGGTGGGTACTAGTCTTGGGACTCCTGTCATGGCTTGTCCCGGCGGGCCTGGGGGTGGTACCGGTGCTCGAGGGGTTCTGAGCTCTGGGGGTGTTCCTTCCGGGGGTGCTGGAGTGGAGCCGTCGGGCAGCTTGCGGTCTTGGTGTAGGTGTCGCACCGCCGCAGCAGCAGTCCCTGCCGGTGTGAGCTCTTCGCCTGCTCGGCCTTCCGTCCCCTGACCCCGCGTCTGTGCCTCCTCCTCTTCCTGTCTACGGCCTTGTGTTCCCTCCCCAGGACTCGTCTCCAGCTCGTCTTCCCCCTCGTTCCCCTCTTGTGTCCCCTCCTCTGTCTCCTGACCCGACGCCTCCGTCTCACGTCTTGTCTCGTCGTCCCTCCTGTGCTCGCCCCGTCTCCCCTGTCCCACGCTCTCACCCTATGTTGCTTCGTTCCCACACGTCTCCTCCTCCCCTCCTGTCGTCATCTTCCGTCCTCCCTTGTTGTTGCGCCTCCCCCTCTGACTGACTACCTTCGTGCCGCTCGTCCTCTTGTTCCTCGGGTCCTTGCCTCTCTCGTTACCGACCCGTCTGTTCGGGTTTCGCGCCTTGACGCTCTTGTCACTGCGGTCGCTGACTTGACTATGCCACCGCTCTTGTCTCTCACCCTGCATGTCCTCCATCTGTCGGAAGTGCTCCTGCCCTCGGCAGTGACGTCCTGGAGGACCACCAGTACAAGCTTGCTTTCCTGTGCGAGGCTGCTCCCCATCTCTGTTCCATGATTCTAGTGCCTGAGGGTGACCCCGACGCTTTCGACATCCCGACCCCTCGCACTTACGCTGAGGCACTCTCGGGACCCTGGGCCTCTCAGTGGATAGCTGCCATGGAGTAGGAGATGGCATCTAGGAGATCCACCGGCACCTACGTCGACGCAGTTCCCCCACCTGGGGTGAACGTAGTCGATGGCCGCTTGCTCTTCAAGGTGAAGCGCCCTCCTGGAGAGCCGCCTGTGTTCAAGGCGCGCTACGTGGCCAGAGGTTTCAGTCAGCGTGAGGGGGTGGACTTCTTTCAGACCTTCACTCCGACCCTGAAGATGACTACTCTTCGGATGCTGCTACACGTAGCAGCTCAGCGTAACTACGAGCTTCACTCCCTCGACTTCTCTACTACGTTTCTTCAGGGCAGTCTACACAAGCAGGTCTACCTGCGCCGCCCTCGAGGCTTCACTGGTGCCTTCCCTCCTGGCACGCAGTGGCTCCTGCGGCGCCCCGTCTACGGCCTGCGACAGGCTCCTCGTGAGTGGCACGACACGCTGCGTGCTGCCCTTGCTGACCTGCAGTTCTTTCCGTCCTCTGCAGACCCCTCGCTCTTCGTTCGTGCTGGCCAGACTCCATTCTACATCCTTGTTTACGTACATGACCTGGTCTTCGCCACTGCACACAGGGACGCACTGGCCTCGATGAAGGCAGAGCTGCTGAAGGGACAAACTTGCACTGACCTTGGAAAACTGCGCCATTACCTTGGCTTGCAGATCTCCAGGGACAGAGCAGCACGCACCATCACCCTCACTCAGTCACACTTGGTGCGCCAGGTCTTTCAGTGGTTCGGCCTTCAGTTCTCCTCTACACAGCCCACCCTTCTGTCTGTAGACCACAGGCTCTGTGCTCCAATTCCTGAGGAGTCGGTAGAGCCGAGTGGCCCTTACGCCGAGCTGGTGGGTTGCCTCATGTACCTGATGACTTGCACTCGCCCAGATCTCGCATACCCTCTCAGCATCATGGCTCGGTTTGTGGCCACAGGCAGACACCGACCTCAGCACTGGTCTGCCGCTAAGAGGGTTTTGCGTTAACTTGCAAGTACATCAGGCATGGGGTTAGTGCTTGGAGGGCGCAGGCCAGTGGTCCTTACTGGGCACACAGACGCTTCGTGGGCAGACGATGCCGAGACTCTTAGGTCCTCACAGGGCTACTGCTTTAGCCTTGGTTCAGGGGCTGTCTTGTGGAGAGCTACTCGCTCCTCGTCTGTTGCCCAGTCAGGCTGTGAGGCCGAGATCTACGTCGGTGCCATGGCGGCACAGGAGCTCCGCTGGCTGACCTTCTTGCTCACTGACTTAGGTGAGCGGCCTAGCTCTGCCCCAGTCCTGTACGCTGACAACAGGGCCATGATCCTCCTGTGTCAGGAGCCGCGACTCGAGGGCAGAGCGAAGCACATTCAGTTGCGGTACTTCCTCCTGCGTGAGCTACAGTAGCGCCGCCAGGCTCGCATAGTACACTTGGCCTCCGGTGCCAACACAGCCGATATCGTTACGAAGGCGCTTGCGCCTAAAGATCATCAGCGACACTGTGTACAGCTTGGTCTTGTTCTTGTAGCCTCTCATTTTCTAGGGTCTTGATTGTGTACAAACCTTTGTATATATTACCCAGACTGGCCTTGTGGCCTCTCCTAGTGGCTGGACTAGTATCGCCGCTCTGGTCTTGCTCTTGCCTTGTCTGTACTCCTTTTGACTGGTCTTTAGACCCTTGCCTCAAAGGCTGGACAAGTAGTGCCGCCTTGAGCTGCTTATTCTCTTGTTACGCACTGCCCCTATATAGTCTAGGGGGTGTGTCAAATGTAACTTAGGTGGTTACTGTAGAATATACTAGTTTGTGCCTTAGAGGGTACAACACTCTAGTCTATATACCCCTGTATCCTTCTATTCTAGTTATTCTCTCATTTTGATTTGTATCCCCAATCATTGACAAAGGCCTTTGTATCCCCAACTACTGACCAAGGCCTTTACCTTATAAAACCACACAAGATTAGCATGGCATGGCATGCAATTTGTCTTGCATATTTAGCATATTTTGCGCCTGTATGAACGATTTCATACTTACGAACACAGTTTGTATTGCCAGATTTGAGTGTTCACTATGGTTTTTTCTTCAAAACATAGGCTTGGGAAGATGCACGGAATGGAACAAAGAATACACAACACGAGCAAAGGTATCCCTCATAATTGTACGTTTATCGAATCATGTTCCAGCGAGCAAGAATGCAGGTAATCTGGAGGTCGCCAAGTCTCCCGAGTCTTTGTTGGGAGACGCTCTGTGAGATTCTCCTCATATCATAATCACAGATCGTTAGTCGATTGCTTACAGATTGTCAGTCTAGGAAACACTGGCAGCAGCCAAGGTTCAGAGTACCGAGCTCATCCATGGAAAGGCGGAAGGTTCCGCAGTGACACCAACATGGTCGCTCTTTCAGTGCGATTGCTATATAAGAGCTCACTTTTTCCATAAAGCGTTGGAGAGTTTTCGGCCTTAGAATGTTGATTTCGAAGGATGAAATGCGAGGACCACTGGGGAAGGTGTGACCAGGAACAGGGGGGGAGTAACCGGGGGTCCTCTGTGGGGGAAGCGACGGTAGAAGGAGACGGACTCGTCAAAGGTGACGGCGCAGGAGTGAAAGAACTGGTGAGACGGCGGGTGATAGAAGTGCCCGTCGGACGCGTCAAGGGGGAAACCAAGGACAACACAGGGAAGGGTGCGGGCAGTGAGCTTGTCCGTGCCAGAGGCACGAACGTGAGCAAGGCAGCCCCAGACGTGAAACGCAGACGCGTCACCAGGAGACCCAGACCAAAGAAGGGTCGGTGAAACCTGCGGGTTCTGGGGGTGCAGCCACAGGTTAAGCTGGTGAGCAGCGTAGCGAACGGTGAACGACCACAGAAAATGGGGTGCACCGGCATGGATCATGGAGGTATGGGCCACCTTCACGACCAAGCCGATGCGTCGCTCAGCGACCCCATTCTGCTGCGGGGAGTCCGGCAAGGTGAACGTATGGGTGATGCCCTCCGCACGACAGAAACGACCAAGGACACCAGAGGCAAACTCGCCACCACGGTCGGAGTGGAGACGCAAGACAGTGAGACCGCGGTGGACACGCGCTGAGACGAGCCACGGGATGAGAACGTCAGGCACGTCGGCCTTCCACTCCAGGGGAAACACTTTAATGTAGCGCGTGTAGTCGTCGACAAGCACTACGAATTAGCGCTCTCGATGCGGCCCATGGATGGGGGGCGGGGCCTTAGACATCCATGTGCAGAGTCTGTAGCGGTGCGGCGGTAGGGGGAAACGAGGAGGAGTGAGGAGCATGGTGGAGCCGGCCCTCGACATAGGGCGTGCACGGTGGGGCTGGGGAGGAAGGAAACTCGGGGAACGACCCGGGGAGACCGAGGACGAGACCGTGGTGTTACATGTGACGCAGACGCGGGAGCGCAGGGTGACCTAGGCTATCACAGGATCGAATGTCTCGAGGAAAGATTGTACTATCGATTGATACAAGGCGCTTTTATACGTCCACAGTACATCAGGTAACCAGGTTTATCCTATCCAAAGGGAATAGACCCTTCTAGAATATAGAATCACCCTACGTATAGCCACGCGAGGCTATTGGCTTTAAGGGATTACGGCAGGATTACGCTAGATATAGCGCCAGTACATCCCAAGCTTGGTCGGTGATATAATTATAATAGCAGGATAAACCAAAGGATAATGGGAAATGGAGAATTGGAAACCAAATGAGATGAGATAAAAAAGAGAAATGAAATAGGAAGTAAATAAGGAGAAGTCAAGTGGTGTAACGGGGTCGTACTCTCACACTTCCCCCCCTCAAAGCTGGGTGGTAGAAGTAACACCCTGCTTGACAAGGTAGTCATGTAGAGGATGACGGGAGTTACCCATGTCGGTCTCAGGTACCCAGCTGTCCTCAGAAGGATCATACCCCTTCCAACGAATAAGAAGCTCCACGGTGCCATTCCGACGACGGCGGTGTGCAAGCATGGACTCGACCTCATACTCGGGTTCATTCTGGACGAGGACGGGTGGCGGCGGCGGCGGTTGGCGTCCGACGAAGATCGTGTTCGGATCCCGATAAGGCTTCAGAAGTTGGACATGGAAGGCGTTGTGAATCTTCCAGGTAGCTGGCAGGCGTAAGCGGAAGGTAACAGGAGTGACCTGTGCTTCAACAAGAAAAGGCCCACAGAAGCGAGGTCGAAGTTTAGATGGGAGATGGCTGATGTCAAGGTTGCGGGTGTCGAGGAGCACCTGGTCTCCTACGGTGATGCTGTGGTCGTTGCGATGGCGATTGGCATGGCGCTTCTGTTGCTGCTGAATATCAAGGAGGCGCTTATGGGTCCGATCCCAAAGCTGATGCATGGTCGTAATGAAGTCGTGTGCAGGTTGGACTATAGCGGGTGTTGTCGGTTTCTGTGGTATGAGTGGGTGGCGTCCGTAGCAGAGGAAGAACGGCGTCTGTCCAGTAGCGGCATGTGTAGCGTTGTTGTAAGCAAACTCTTGGACGGGCAGGTGCAAGTCCCATTTGGAGATCTCGTCCTTGCAGGCTGCACGGAAGAGTTGCTCAACAATCTGGTTGAGGCGCTCGGTCTGTCCGTCTGTTTGCGGATGGTATGCGGATGACATGGCGAGTTTGGTCCCGAGCAGAGACATTAGCTCCTTCCAGAACTTGCTGGTGAACTTGGGGTCTCGGTCGGAGATGAGTGTGGTTGGAATGCCATGTTGTGAGATGATGTATCGAACAAAGAGTTGTGCTGTCTCCTCGGTGCGTGCCGTCGTGTGTGTCGGAATGAAGTGTCCCATTTTGGAGAATTTGTCAATGACAACAAGGATTGTGTCATGTCCACTGGTGGTAGGTGGTAACCCGGTGATGAAGTCCAGGCTAACCACTTGCCATGGTTGTTCCGGGACAGGAAGAGGTTGTAGTAGTCCTGCCTTCTTCTGCTTGCTGCTCTTCATCAGTTGACATGTATCACACGAGGTGAAGAATTTCTGAACATCGTCTACCAAGTGGGGCCAGTAGTCTTGCTTCGCGATACCAGTTAGCGTCTTGTTGCTACCGAAGTGTCCGGCGTAGAGGACGTCGTGGTATTCTTCGAGTAGTAACTTGCGCAAAGGCGGGTAATTAGGCACCCAGATTTTCGTTGATCCTTTCCGGTACGCGATATCATTGTCCCACTGTAGCAGGTGTCGCTTCTCTGCCAAGGGAATTTCGAGGTCGATGGTGTACCCGTGTGTGAAGAGTCCCTTGAGTATGCTCCACTGTCCACGAGTGCTTGGAGGCGTCGTCCTTTGCAGATGACCTCGAGCACGAGAGGCGGGCGTTGCTCGGAGTACCCAAAGATAGTTTCATTAATAGGGTCATAGGGTACATCCCAATAATCTGTACACACCTTTTCGTTGCTATCTACTCCTGAGCTGGCAGCTGGCCGAGGCTGCTCGGAGAACGGCTCTTCTCCAGGGCCCGGAGTTTCCTTGACGACTGTACGCGTCATTGATGCCGAAGAACTGGATGCATCCGGAGGAGGAGTTCGGGGTTTTTGCAGCTTCTTGTAGACCCCCAGCTTCCTCTTGAGCTGCTTCAGCTCCACCGACGTCTTCCCTGGGAACGGGTAGTCGATGTGGGCTGGTGTCGGGAGAGGACGTTGACTCCGTGGAAAGGTCGGCTTCTTTCCACACTCCTTAATTTTTTCCCCAAGTTGTCCGGTACCGGTATAATCTCCACAGCTTACTGCTTCTTTTGGAGTCCCTCCCGAATTTTCTCCAAGGCTCTAGCCCCTCGAAAATCATAAGTTTTCATTAAAGCATCTTTGTAGGATAACTTTAACGAATCCTTATAATTTCTTGGGTCTTCAAGGAGTTTCCCCGTCTCGGCAGAGTCTTTTTTCGCGGAGTCGGATTTTTTCTCGGCGATTTTCCCTAGCGAAGACTGGTCGTGGGGTGGAGATTTTTCCCCATCATTTCCTCCTGCTTGCGTCGAATCAGCTTCGTCGAAGTTGATTTTCCCGGGATCCCGCGGCCGCTTCCGGATCTTTTCTTTTTCGCCAGCTAGTTCCGCAATCACTGGCGATTCCCGTTTTTTGTCTTCTGATTGGCTGAAGGATTTCCGCCACTGTTGCATGCCCGATACTCTGCGCGTGCGGCTTTCATTTTGTTGCAGTCGAAGATTCGATGGCCCGGCACCCCGCAAAAATCACACGTGCAGTTGGTGTTTTTCGGACGTGGCCGCCCGTCGAACCTGTCGATTTCCATCGGGTCGGCGAACGTGGTGTGAGCCGAGCGGTCGCCCTGTCGCGTACTACTGACGTGCGTCCGTCGTGTTCCGGCGTTGACCATGTCGAAGCGCTCCGCGGCCGAAACGACGTCACTGTAGCTCGCATAGTTTGACGCTGCTACCTGGCGTTTGACTTCGATCTTCAGCCCGGCGAGGTAAGACTGTACTTTTTCCCCTTCGGTCAGGTCGGGAATTCGGTTATAAAATTCCTCCATCTGCTGCGTGTACTGCGCTACACTCCCGAACTGTCGATGTCGATGGATTTTTTCCCAGGCAAGGAAACCCGAATTTATCGGCTCGAATCGCTTCAGCAGGTCGGTGCGGAACTGCTGCCATGTGGCTTCACCGTGGATGAAAGTACTGTTGCCGCCAATCCACTTGAGTGCCGGCCCTTGCATCAGCGTCGCCGCGAGTCGTACACGTTGACCGTCCCAGACTGGCGAGCTCCATCCGACGGCTGCGAAGTAGATCTCCATGCCGGCGATCCATCTGCGGGCGTCGGAGTTTCGATCGCTCGGATCGAACGGCTCAGGTGGGCGCGGTTTCGGAGCCTCGAGAAACTGCTGCGACTGTTGCATCGTCGCCGTTGTCGATTCGTGCTGCGCTCCGGCGAGTCGAGTTACTCGCTCGAACTCGTTTCGCCACGCTTCGCGATCCGCTCGCATCTCCTCCTGAAGAGCGGCGATGCTCGCGAAGAGCTGTTGGGTAACCTCGGCGTTGTCGAAGGTTGTCATCCTGTTCAAAACACGCGCGGGGGGGGGGGGGGGGTAATTCACAAAACGCGGAGCTGGTGCTTACCAGGATCGGCATCGAATTCGTCGCCCCCGGCGGTTTTTCGAAGCAGGTTTTCCCGCTGCTGCTGCTTTGTTGAGCGCGGCCGAGTGAGAAAAGCTCTAATTACCAAGTGTCACAGGATCGAATGTCTCGAGGAAAGATTGTACTATCGATGGATACAAGGCGCTTTTATACTTCCAGAGTACATCAGGTAACCAGGTTTATCCTATCCAAAGGGAACAGACCCTTCTAGAATATAGAATCACCCTACGTATAGCCACGCGAGGCTATTGGCTTTAAGGGATTACGGCAGGATAACGCTAGATATAGCGCCAGTACATCCCAAGCCTGGTCGGTGATATAATTATAATAGCAGGATAAACCAAAGGATAATGGGAAATAGAGAATAGGAAACCAAATGAGATGAGATAAAAAAGAGAAATAAAATAGGAAGTAAATAAGAAGAAGTCAAGTGGTGTAACAGGGTCGTACTCTCACATAGGCGGTGGCGCCACAGGAGAGTCGGGTGAGTGAGTGACCGACAGGAGCAGGCAGCAGCAACCTGGGTAGACGCAGCCACCTGAGGGGGCGTCCCAGCCGGGGGGGTCACGGTGTCCAGTGTGAACAGTCCGAACACCGGGTCCCGGGGGAACGTGGAAAGGGGGGCACCAGTGGCGGCCTCGGTACAGACCGCGTACCACTCGTGAACAGGGAACGTAGTGGTGACGCCAAGGTCCTGGAGGCAGCCGACACCAACTAGGTTCCTTGAGAACGAGGGGATGTGCAGACCTGTGAGAGAGCCCGAAGGAACCGCCGGACAGGGAAGGGTGGTGGAACTGTGGGCGACTACTAGACCGGAGGAGGGGCCAGCAAGAGAAACTACAGCAGGAACAGGAAGCGGTGTCAGCATGGTGGAGTCGCGGAAGAAACACCGGGAAGCGCCAGAGTCCAAGGTGAAGGAAAGCGCAGCAGTGGCGTCCAGAGTCCAAGTAGCGACGGAAGCACCAAGGCTAAACAAAGCAGAGGATCCTACGCCTGACACAGCAGGGGAGTCTAAGCTAGGCACACCTATACTAGGCAACAAGGGGTAGTAAGAAGGAAGCACACTAGAGTCATCAGTATACATCACATGCAGGGCAGCGACAATCTCATCCATGTCCATATCAACGATCTGAATGCTACGACGAAGCAAGCTGTGCCAGTCTGGGAGGTCGGGCGACGGGCCGAAGCGCTGACGAAACAGGTCGTCCAGGCTACGGAAACAGCGGACGGAGGTGTGACCGATCTTACCGCAAACGAAGCCACGGCGAGGACCGGTCTGGAGCTGGTACTGACAGCGCGCGTCACCCAAACTGCCACCCGGCAGCCCACCATGCGCACGACCACCACGTCCAGCGCCACCACCAGCACCAGGCCACCTGGGCGGAAGACCACTCGCCCGCCTCTGCTGCTGCGGCTGCTGCGACTGGTGTGGCTGCCGCGGCTGGTGCGAGGGCTGCTGGTGCGGCTGTTGCGTGTCCGGCTGCGACACCTGCGGCTGCTCGGCTGCACCTGTGAGGGTCCCTTCGTCCGCGCCACCACCAGGTGACCCAACTCCACCACCACCTCCACCACCACCCCCACCCCTTCCGCCGCGCCCAGCCTTGGGGCGGCGACCCTTCCCCGAACAGAATTATGTTGCAGCTGCGGTCTCAGCCACAGCAGCAAAACCGTCGGAGAAGGTGCACTAAGCGGGGGCACAACCCTGAAAGATAGGGACCGGCACAGTATCGCTGGTCTGGGCGATAGAGCGGTGGCGGGTCTCTATAACGGACAGGGTGTCAACAAAGTCAGTGAGGGTGAGGTCACCGGGGTGGACGCTAAGGAAGCGGTCGCGGGCAGTGGCAAGGTGGTCAGGGAGGCGGGTGGCCAGCAGGTAGAGAGCAGAGCAGAGGGGCGGCTGGTGGGATCTAAGCTGTGTATCAGTGCAGGCAGAGCGCCAGGTCTCGTCTATCGTGCGCAGGTGGCCGGCCAGGTCAGCGGCAGTGGGGAACGACGCAAGGTCAGCGAAGAGCATGGGTAGGATCAGGCGACCTACCAAGGCAGCAGGCGGGGTGGAATCGCGCTGGACAACAGCATCTAGGGAAGCCTGGGTAGTGGTGACGGACCTAAAGCGAGGGCGCTCAGACAGGGGGAGGGCATGGCTGATAACACGTTGTGCGACGGCGTCACGCGACAGCCAGACGGAGCGAGCAAGGGCAGCGGCCGCAGGGGACTCACGCTCAGCAGACGAGGGAATAGCGAGCAGTGCAGCAGGGGGGTCCTGGCAGGGGAGCGTACCGTCAAGGTGGACAGACAGCGAGTGGCCATCCTGTCGCTGATCAGTGAGTTGGTGGCGGAGGTCGACCAGCCACGCTTCAAACTCAATCGGCTGGCCCTCAGTGTCAACGCGAAGCACCTCCGCCATCAGGAACGATGCATGGTGGTGCAGAGCGGTGCAGTGCGGTGCCGTGCGGTGCAGTGCGATGCAGTGCAGTGCAGAGCGGTGCAGGGCGGTGCCGTGCGGTGCAGGGCGATGCAATGCGGTGCAGTGCGGTGCAATGCGGTACCGCGGGGTTGCAGTGCGGTGCTGGTCGGGAAGAACGGGCCGGGCACGAGTCGGCGGCGAATGCGAGGGGCCGGCAAGGAGCGGGCACGACGGGGGCGCGAGGGGCTGGCTAGGTGCGGGCACGGCGGCACGAGGGGCCGGCTAGGAGAGGGCACGACCGCTCAGGGGGCCGGTTACGACGAGCGCGCCGGCTCAGGGGGCCGGCTAGGACGGGCGCGATGGCGAGAGGGACCGGCTAGGACGGGTGCGACGGCGAGAGGGGCCGGCTAGGACGGGCACGCCGGCTCAGGGGGCCGGCTACGGCGCGAGGGGCGCAAGGTGCCGTCTAGGAACGGGTACGAGGGGTCGGCTAGGGCCTATGGCGGAATCTCGGGCGGGCTAGAGGGACCTAACCTACTATGATACCACATCAACATGAGAGAATGAACTAGAGTAGAAGGATACAGGGGTATATACACTAGAGTGTTGTACCCTCTAAGGCAGAAACCAGTATAGTCTACAGTAACCATCTAAGTTACATTTGACATAGCGCGCACCATCACCCTCACTCAGTCACACTTGGTGCGTCAGGTCCTTCAGAGGTTCGGCCTTCAGTTCTCCTCTGCACAGCCCACCCCTCTGTCTGTAGACCACAGGCTCTCTGCTCCAGTTCCTGAGGAGTCGGTAGAGCCCAGTGGCCCTTACGCCGAGCTAGTGGGTTGCCTCATGTACCTGATGACTTGCACTCGCCCAGATTTCGCATACCCTCTCAGCATCCTAGCTCGGTTTGTGGCCACAGGCAGATACCGACCTCAGCACTGGTCTGCCGCTAAGAGGGTTTTGCGTTATCTTGCAAGTACATCGGGCATGGGGTTAGTGCTTGGAGGGCGCAGGCCAGTGGTCCTTACTGGGCACACAGACGCTTCGTGGGCAGACGACGCCGAGACTCTTAGGTCCTCACAGGGCTACTGCTTTAGCCTTGGTTCAGGTGCTGTCTCGTGGAGAGCTACTCGCTCGTCGTCTGTTGCTCAGTCCAGCTGTGAGGCCGAGATCTACGTCGGTGCCATGGCGGCACAGGAGCTCTGCTGGCTGACCTTCTTGCTCACTGACTTAGGTGAGCGGCGTACGCTGACAATAGGGCCATGATCCTCCTATGTCAGGAGCCGCAACTCGAGGGCAGAGCGAAGCACATTCAGTTGTGGTACTTCCTCCTGCATGAGCTACAGCAGCGCCGCCAGGCTCGCATAGTACACTTGGCCTCCGGTGCCAACACAGCCGATATCTTTACGAAGGCGCTTGCGCCTAAAGATCATCAGCGACACTGTGTACAGCTTGGTCTTGTTCCTGTAGCCTCTCATTTGCTAGGGCCTTGATTGTGTACAGACCTTTGTATATATTACCCAGACTTGCCTTAAGGCCTCTCCCAGTGGCTGGACTAGTAGTGCCGCCCTGGTCTTGCTCTTGCCTTGTCTGTACTCCTTTTGACTGGTCTTTAGACCCTTGCCTCAGAGGCTGGACTAGTAGTGCCGCCCTGAGCTGCTTATTCTCTTGTTACGCACTGCCCCTATATAGTCTAGGGGGTGTGTCAAATGTAACTTAGATGGTTACTGTAGACTATACTGGTTTGTGCCTTAGAGGGTACAACACTCTAGTCTATATACCCCTGTATCCTTCTATTCTATTTATTCTCTCATTTTGATATGTATCCCCAATCACTGACCAAGGCCTTTGTATCCCCAACTACTGACCAAGGCCTTGAGTTTATAAAACCACACGAGATTAGCATGGCATGGCATGCAATTTGTCTTGCATATTTAGCATATTTTGCTCCTGTATGAACGATTTCATACTTACGAACACAGTTTGTATTGCCAGATTTGAGTGTTCGCTATGGTTTTTTCTCCAAAACATAGGCTTGGGCAGATGCACGGAATGGAACAAAGAATACACAAAACGGGCAATGGTATCCCTCATAATTGTACGTTGATCGAATCATGTTCCAGCGAGCAAGAATGCAGGTAATCTGGAGGTCGCCTAGTCTCCCGAGTCTTTGCTGGGAGACGCTCCCTGAGATTCCCTTCGTTTCATAATCACAGGTCGTTAGTCGATTGCTCACAGATCGTCAATCTAGGCAACACCGGCAGCAGCCAAGGATCAGAGTACCGAGCTCGTCCGTGGAAAGGCGGAAGGTTCCGCAGTGACACCAAACATGGTCGCTCTTCCAGTGCGATTGCTATATAAGAGCTCGCTTTTTCCATAAAGCGTTGGAGCGTTTTCGGCGTCAGATTGTTGATTGCGAAGGATGAATTGTGAGGCTCATCATGAATGCTCATTCGGTCTGGACGCTGTCATGAATGTTGACGGCTCAGTTAACGATTCCATTGACGAATCAGTTGACGATTCAGTTGACGATTCAGTTGACGAGTCCATCCATGTTTTTCGTCTCTTCCACTCGCACTCTCGATGGCAGAGCTTGAGTTTCAGTCACCAGATCAAGCAACGGCGCACACCTGGAAGCATGACACTCGATTGTGAAGGGCTTATCGCTGATTCGAGCTAAACTGCAAAGGAAGTCGCTACTAGTCTGACTGACAGTCGATTTTAGTCTCACTGACAGTCGATTTTAGTCTCACTGACAGTCGATTTTAGTCTCACTGACAGTCGATTTTAGTCTCACTGACAGTCGATTTTAGTCTCACTGACAGTCGATTTTAGTCTCACTGACAGTCGATTTTAGTCTGACTGACAGTCACCTTTCATTCTGACTGATAGTCGCCGTCAATCTGACTGACAGTCGCCTTTTGTCTGACTGACAGTCGCGTTTCGTCTGACTGACAATCGCCGTCAACCTGACCGACAGTTCCCGTCAGCCTGACGGCCAGTCGCCTTCGCCATGTTCAACTCGCAGCGGGACGCCCGGCCGCAACAAGCAGCGCCAGCAGCCTCCGTCAACCCATTCCTCTCAAACCCCTCCCCATCCTCCTCCTCCCCCTCCCCTGCAACCCCCTTCCGCACTCCACCGCCCGCTTTCGCTTCCCCCACCTTCTCCTCCCCCACTTGCGCTCCCGCCGCATTCGCTTCCCCCACTTCCGCTTCCCCTGGATTCGTTCCCCCCGCATTCGCTTCCCCAACGACCGCCCCTCTAGCTACATCCCCAGGCGATCCCTCATCGGATCCGAGCTACGCCACTCCCCAGGCCACCATCCGAGCGGCGTCCAGATTCGGCCCTCCACTCCACTCGCTCTCCTCCACTCCCTCCCGACCCAGATCCAGCCCGCGAAGCCCTAGCCAGAGTGGTAACCCTATTTCGTCTCAGCCGGTCGTTCCTCCGTCCCCGGCAGCCCAGTCCAGCACCCCTCCTGCCTTCGCAGCACCATCCGCGTCTCCCGCCCCTTGGTCCGCCTCCTCCGCCTCCTCCGCGTCCTCTCCATCACCGAAAGGCCGGTCTTGGCATGGCTTCTCGCCCTCTCCTGTCGCCGCCCGCAGCACCGCCAACTCTAAATCGCCCGTAAACGTAGTGGATGCTGCTACCACGCCGGATAAGGCTGCTTCGGTTTCAGCTCCTAGCAGCAGCCGACGGGCCGAAGCTGAGGAAGAGGTCCAGGAGAGGTGCGGTAATGGTGGTGCCAGCAGTCATGCGGGTGCTGGTCAACGAGTAGGAGCGGCGGGGAAGGCACAAGAGGGGACAAAATCCGAGCCGGCAGGTTTGAGGACAGGCTCGGCAGGAGTGAATGGGGTGACAGCAGCAGGTTCGGGGGGTTCCGGTCCGTCAGCTGCTGCGTCTGGCTCGGCTGAACTAGGCTCGGCGAGAGTAGCAGGGGGTGCGACTCCTCAGAAAGCGGGGAAGATTCGAATGGACGGTTTAGATCTACAAAATGGAGGTGGATTGTCAGGAGACCGCTCCCAACCGTCCGATTCACAATCTGCCTGTGAGCCGTCACAGAGAGAAGAGAATGAGAGAGTGACAGCAGGAAGAGACTCTTCCCTTGCAGCCCCTCCTGCTTCCCCCTCCTCTTCCCCCACGCCACCACCGTCCGCCGCTCCTGCCTCTGTCCTTTCCACCTCTCCCTCTGCTGCTCCCAGCCATCTACCTTCTGCTGTGGCGGCCTCCCCCTTCCCCGCCATCCCCTCTCCCTCCATCACCCCGACTTCTCCCTCCATGACTCACTCGCACCACAGTCATGTGAAGCGCAGCGCTAGCGATAACAACTGTAGGGTGCAGTCCCCACCCTCCTCTGCCAAACCTGCTCTCCTGCCTTCCAGCCGAACCTTCTCTGCAGGCTCGGAACTAGGCAAGGGCGCAGCTGCGGCGGCTGCGGCTGCTGTGGCGCAGTTTTCCGCGCGCAGGCAGCACATGGGCGTTGGGGGAGGGGGAGGGGGAGGGGGAGGCGGAAGTGAGGCTGGAGCTGCGGGGGGGAAGGGGGGCGCGGGGGGGAACATAGGTATGGCAGCGGCAGCAGGTGCAGCAGTGGTACCAGGAGGAAGAGAAGGAGCGGAGGGCGTAGGCAGCAGCAGTGCAGTGGGTGATAGTAGAGGGGATAGCGAGAGTAAGCCAGCACAGAGGAATGGTCACTCCCCCTCCTTCTCTTCTTGGGCCTCCCCCGCCCCATCTTCCCCTTGGGTCCCCTCCCCCTCCCCCTCCCCTTCCCTCCGCACTCCCCACACACCCTGGAATGCCGCCTCCCCTGCTGCCCCCTCCCCCTCCCCTGCCCGCCAATTCCCCCCCACCCCCTCGCCCTGGTCCCCCTTCCCCCCCGCTTCCTCCAAGGCCAGGGGGAAGTGGGGGGCAGTGGCGCGGGGGGTGTGGTGGGGGACGGCGGTGCTGGGGGCATTGCAGCAGCGGTCAGCTGGGGGGCTCAGGCGGCTGGCGCTGCTGATTGCGCTTAACTCCGCGTACTCCACGGCAGAACTCATCGTTGGCCTGCTGATTGGGCGAATAGGTGGGTGAGATTTGCTCCTACATCTCTGCATCACTGCCCGGATCGTCCTTGCTCATTCTTGCAATTTGCAGGGTATTTTTTTATAATTCTCAAAAATACATCGCTGCCCGGATCGTCCTTGCTCATTCTTTCCTCGTCTCCTTGCACTCCCATGCTTCCCTCTCAGATCTCGTGTCTGACTCCTTCCAACCCTCCTGGCTGCTGCATTCTGCTGCACCGCCTCTTACATTCTTCCTTTCGTTTCTCCCCTCCTCCCTCTGCTCTCCTCTCCTATCACCTCTCCCCCTGCCCCCTGTCAGAGCTGGTCTCCGACTCCTTCCACCTCTCCTTCGGCTGCTGCATTCTGCTGCTCTCCCTCGCTGCCATGCTCCTGGGGAAGCGGCCCGCAGATGCCACCTTCACCTACGGGTGGGCCACTCCTCCTGTAATCATTACCTGTCTGCGCCACTACCCGCACCTTCATCCATGGGCGCGCGTACTCTGCTCCTTGGTTTGAGGCGCCTCAAATCTTCATCCATGGGCGCGCGTACTCTGCTCCTTGCGCCGTCCTGCACTTGGTAGCATTAGTGCCGTTTTCCTCTTCTCGCTTTGGTTTCTCTCCATCTAAGACTCCCGCCTCTCCGCCTGCATCTCTCTCTCCCTGCCTTGTGCTTCTCCCCCGCCTTCCCGCCTGCACCTCCACGTGCCTTGTCTGCCTCGTCCGTCTGCCTACCAGCTATGAGAGACTGGAAGTGCTGGCAGCCTTCACCAACGGAGTGAGTGCACGCAATTGTGATCAGATTGAACCGTGTGTTGCCAATTGCACCTTCAAGCAACCAAAGACCGTCCACTGCATCTTCAGTCGCACTGCATCTTCAGTCGCACTGCAAGAAAGTATCCACGTCCTCTGCGTCGTGTTCGACTGCTCTCCCTCCTCCCCCCCCCCCCCCCCCACTGCCCCTCCCACCGTTTCTCTGTCCATCCCGCCCATCAGCTCTTCCTGCTCTTCCTCTCCTTCTCCCTAGCGGTGGAGTGCCTGCATGCTTATATCGAGGACGAGGCAGAGCACAAGTGAGCGTTCTTATCCCCCCTAGATATTCTGCACAGTCCAGGCTGGCCTGGCCACCTCCTGTTTCCGCTGTTTCAATGTTTTTCCCTACCCTTCACTCCCGGCCGTTGCTTTCCTCTAGTCGCTGCAACCCTCGAACTCATTCCAAACATGTCACAAGACATGTCACAAGACATGTCACAAGACATGTCACAACACATGTCACAAGACATGTTTGCACGCACGAGCATTTGTCCCCCTCTCCTTCCCTTCCCCATCCTCCCTGTGCGCAGGCACTACCTGCTGGTCTCCACCGTGCCTCATGTGCTCATCAGCCTCCTCACATGCACACATCTGTCTCGGTCCCTCTGTCTCCCTCCCTCCCATCCCCCCTCTGCGCAGGCACTACCTGCTCGTCTCTGCTGTGGTCCACCTGCTCATCAACCTGCTATCTGCCACTGCCGTCGCTCATCTGCCCGTTAACCTCCTCACAGGCGCACGCCTCCCCCCCGTCCTCCCTCTGCGCTGCGCAGGCACTACCTGGTCATGTGTGCCGTGGTGTGGTCCACCTGCTCATCAACCTCCTCACTTCCCTCTTCTGCTGTCTCTCTCCTTCCCTTCCCCGTCCTCCCTCCGTGCAGGCACGATCTGGTCATGTCTGCCGTGGTGCATCTGCGCATCAACGTCCTCACATGCACACTTCTTTCCCGGTCCCTCTATGTCTCTCCCCATCCTCCCTCTCCGCTGGCAGGCACTACCTGGTCATGTCTGCCGTGGTCCACCTGCTCATCAACCTCCTTCCACGCACCCCTCAATCTCCTCACACGCACACACCTTTCCCGGTCCCTCTGTGCCTCTCCTTCCCTTCCCCGCCCTCCCTCTGCGCAGGCACTACCTGGTCATGTCTGCCGTGGTCCACCTGCTCATCAACCTCCTCGGAGTGTTCTTCTTCAAGAGCTTCGCCCGCCGCACCATAAGTGAGTCTGGAGGGCTCTACGTGGGGCAGTAGCAGGCTGGCTGAGATGGACCACGAGGAGTACCATGACTGCCACCATGACTGCCACCATGACTGCCACCATGACTGCCACCATGACTGCCACCATGACTGCCTCTTCGTGTTCCCTGTCTTCCCCTCCTTCCGCCTCTCCCGCTCATCCCATCTTCCTCTCTCCCTCATCCCTCTTCCTCGATCGTCTTTTCCCCTCGCTGTACTCCTCTCCAGCGTCCTAGCGACCGCGGGGCATGAACCATCATGCCATGAACCATCATGCCATGAACCATCATGCCATGAACCATCGTGCCATGAACCATCATGCCATGAACCATCATGCCATGAACCATCATGCCATGAACCATCGTGCCATGAACCATCATGCCATGAACCATCGTGCCATGAACCATCATGCCATGAACCATCGTGCCATGAACCATCGTGCCATGAACCATCGTGCCATGAACCATCGTGCCATGAACCATCGTGCCATGAACCATCATGCCATGAACCATCGTGCCATGAACCATCGTGCCATGAACCATCGTGCCATGAACCATCGTGCCATGAACCATCGTGCCATGAACCATCGTGCCATGAACCGTCATGCCATGAACCGTCATGCCATGAACCATCGTGCCATGAACCATCGTGCCATGAACCATCGTGCCATGAACCATCGTGCCATGAACCATCGTGCCATGAACCATCGTGCCATGAACCATCGTGCCATGAACCATCGTGCCATGAACCATCGTGCCATGAACCATCGTGCCATGAACCATCGTGCCATGAACCATCGTGCCATGAACCATCGTGCCATGAACCATCGTGCCATGAACCATCGTGCCATGAACCATCGTGCCATGAACCATCGTGCCATGAACCATCGTGCCATGAACCATCGTGCCATGAACCATCGTGCCATGAACCATCGTGCCATGAACCATCGTGCCATGAACCGTCATGCCATGAACCGTCATGCCATGAACCATCGTGCCATGAACCATCGTGCCATGAACCATCGTGCCATGAACCATTGTGCCATGAACCATCGTGCCATGAACCATCGTGCCATGAACCATCGTGCCATGAACCATCGTGCCATGAACCATCGTGCCATGAACCATCGTGGCATGAACCATCGTGCCATGAACCGTCATGCCATGAACCGTCATGCCATGAACCATCATGCCATGAACCATCATGCCATGAACCATCGTGCCATGAACCATCGTGCCATGAACCATCGTGCCATGAACCATCGTGCCATGAACCATCGTGCCATGAACCATCGTGCCATGAACCATCGTGCCATGAACCATCGTGCCATGAACCATCGTGCCATGAACCATCGTGCCATGAACCATCGTGCCATGAACCATCGTGCCATGAACCATCGTGCCATGAACCATCGTGCCATGAACCATCGTGCCATGAACCATCGTGCCATGAACCATCGTGCCATGAACCGTCATGCCATGAACCATCGTGCCATGAACCATCGTGCCATGAACCATCGTGCCATGAACCATCGTGCCATGAACCATCGTGCCATGAACCATCGTGCCATGAACCATCGTGCCATGAACCATCGTGCCATGAACCATCGTGCCATGAACCATCGTGCCATGAACCATCGTGCCATGAACCGTCATGCCATGAACCATCGTGCCATGAACCATCGTGCCATGAACCATCGTGCCATGAACCATCGTGCCATGAACCATCGTGCCATGAACCATCGTGCCATGAACCATCGTGCCATGAACCATCGTGCCATGAACCATCGTGCCATGAACCATCGTGCCATGAACCATCGTGCCATGAACCATCGTGCCATGAACCATCGTGCCATGAACCATCGTGCCATGAACCATCGTGCCATGAACCATCGTGCCATGAACCATCGTGCCATGAACCATCGTGCCATGAACCATCGTGCCATGAACCATCGTGCCATGAACCGTCATGCCATGAACCGTCATGCCATGAACCATCGTGCCATGAACCATCGTGCCATGAACCATCGTGCCATGAACCATCGTGCCATGAACCATCGTGCCATGAACCATCGTGCCATGAACCATCGTGCCATGAACCATCGTGCCATGAACCATCGTGCCATGAACCATCGTGCCATGAACCATCGTGCCATGAACCATCGTGCCATGAACCATCATGCCATGAACCATCATGCCATGAACCATCATGCCATGAACCATCATGCCATGAACCATCTGCCATGAACCATCGTGCCATGAAGTGCCATGAACCATCGTGCCATGAACCATCGTGCCATGAACCATCGTGCCATGAACCATCGTGCCATGAACCATCGTGCCATGAACCATCGTGCCATGAACCATCGTGCCATGAACCATCGTGCCATGAACCATCGTGCCATGAACCATCGTGCCATGAACCATCCTGCCATGAACCATCGTGCCATGAACCATCGTGCCATGAACCGTCATGCCATGAACCGTCATGCCATGAACCATCGTGCCATGAACCATCGTGCCATGAACCATCATGCCATGAACCATCGTGCCATGAACCATCGTGCCATGAACCATCGTGCCATGAACCATCATGCCATGAACCATCGTGCCATGAACCATCGTGCCATGAACCATCGTGCCATGAACCATCGTGCCATGAACCATCGTGCCATGAACCATCATGCCATGAACCATCGTGCCATGAACCATCGTGCCATGAACCATCATGCCATGAACCATCGTGCCATGAACCATCGTGCCATGAACCATCGTGCCATGAACCATCGTGCCATGAACCATCGTGCCATGAACCATCATGCCATGAACCATCGTGCCATGAACCATCGTGCCATGAACCATCGTGCCATGAACCATCGTGCCATGAACCATCGTGCCATGAACCATAGTGCCATGAACCGTCATGCCATGAACCATCGTGCCATGAACCATCGTGCCATGAACCATCGTGCCATGAACCATCATGCCATGAACCATGGTGCCATGAACCATCGTGCCATGAACCATCGTGCCATGAACCATCGTGCCATGAACCATCATGCCATGAACCATCGTGCCATGAACCATCGTGCCATGAACCATCGTGCCATGAACCATCGTGCCATGAACCATCGTGCCATGAACCATCGTGCCATGAACCATCGTGCCATGAACCATCGTGCCATGAACCATCGTGCCATGAACCGTCATGCCATGAACCGTCATGCCATGAACCATCGTGCCATGAACCATCATGCCATGAACCATCGTGCCATGAACCATCGTGCCATGAACCATCGTGCCATGAACCATCGTGCCATGAACCATCGTGCCATGAACCGTCATGCCATGAACCATCGTGCCATGAACCATCGTGCCATGAACCATCGTGCCATGAACCATCGTGCCATGAACCATCGTGCCATGAACCATCGTGCCATGAACCATCATGCCATGAACCATCGTGCCATGAACCATCGTGCCATGAACCATCGTGCCATGAACCATCGTGCCATGAACCATCGTGCCATGAACCATCGTGCCATGAACCATCGTGCCATGAACCGTCATGCCATGAACCATCGTGCCATGAACCATCATGCCATGAACCATCGTGCCATGAACCATCGTGCCATGAACCATCATGCCATGAACCATCGTGCCATGAACCATCGTGCCATGAACCATCGTGCCATGAACCATCATGCCATGAACCATCGTGCCATGAACCATCGTGCCATGAACCATCGTGCCATGAACCATCGTGCCATGAACCATCGTGCCATGAACCATCATGCCATGAACCATCGTGCCATGAACCATCGTGCCATGAACCATCGTGCCATGAACCATCGTGCCATGAACCATGGTGCCATGAACCATCGTGCCATGAACCATCGTGCCATGAACCATCGTGCCATGAACCATCGTGCCATGAACCATCGTGCCATGAACCATCGTGCCATGAACCATCGTGCCATGAACCATCGTGCCATGAACCATCGTGCCATGAACCATCGTGCCATGAACCATCGTGCCATGAACCATCGTGCCATGAACCATCGTGCCATGAACCATCGTGCCATGAACCATCGTGCCATGAACCATCGTGCCATGAACCATCGTGCCATGAACCATCGTGCCATGAACCATCGTGCCATGAACCATCGTGCCATGAACCATCGTGCCATGAACCATCGTGCCATGAACCATCGTGCCATGAACCATCGTGCCATGAACCATCGTGCCATGAACCATCGTGCCATGAACCATCGTGCCATGAACCATCGTGCCATGAACCATCGTGCCATGAACCATCGTGCCATGAACCATCGTGCCATGAACCATCGTGCCATGAACCATCGTGCCATGAACCATCGTGCCATGAACCATCATGCCATCCATCCTCCTTCACCCCTCCCTAATCTCTCCCTCGGTTCTGCGCTGTGTTCTTCACCCTCTGCTCCCCTGCGTGTCGCTAGCATACCAGCGGCCAAGGGACATGAACCATCATGCCATTCTGCTGCACCTGCTCTGCGACTCCATCCGAAGGTAATGCTTGGGAGAATACAGTAGTTCTCCCCTGTGTCCATACTTATTCTGCGTCGTTGCAGCAACCTGCTGCACCTGCTCCGCGACTCCATCCAAAGGTAATGATTGCTTGCAGTCAGCAGTCCCCCCCCCCCTGCCCATGCATATTCTGCCGAGCTCTGTCCGCGTGTGCCCATTGCGTGCTCTCCTTGCGCACACCAGCCACTCTCATCCATCATGTCCTCTCCTGCGCTCCCTGCATCTCCACCCCCCTGCCTGCTGCAGCGGCGGAGTGGTCCTCGCCTCGTGGTTCATCGCCATGGGGTAAGATGCCTCTTCCCCCCCTCCCCCCTGTGTGGATCGTGAGATAACTAGTGCAAATCCTCCAAGTTCTGTCTTGACGCTGGTCCATCTTGTTGCACGCTTACATGTGGATGTCATCGTTGCGCTTCACAAGATCTCCATCTGCCACTCCCTGCTGTCTCGTCTCCCTTCCCCTTCCCCACCCAGTCGCCCCTGCCTCTATCCCCTTGCATCTCCTCTTCCCCTCCTCCCCTGGGTGTGCAGCGCTGAGGCCATCCGTCTGGCCCTCGTATCCCTCACCGTGCCTGTCCTCGCCCCTCCTTCTGTTTCATCACCCACCCTCCATCAGCCCCATCTGTCCACCCCTACAGCGCTGAGGCCATCTGCCTCAGCCGTGTTTCCCTCGCAGTGCTGGTTCACTCCCTCCCATCTGCTCCCATCTATCTTGTAACTCTCTGACTTGCCCTGCCCCTACTGCATCTCCTCTCCCGTCCCTCGCAGCGTCTACAGCGCTGAGGCCATCTGCCTCGGCCTGGTCTCCCTCGCAGTGCTCGTGCTCGCGCTCCCATTGGTGCACTCGTCCGGCAACCTCCTGCTGCAGATGGCGCCTGCAGGGATCTCAGAGCCTGCCCTGCACAAGTGCATCCGCCACGTGCGTTTCTGTTTTTCATGTTTCTCATCTTCGTTAGTGTGTTCCTCTTGGTCACTTTCATGCCTTCTGCTCTCCTCCCCTGTTTCGCGTACGTGCATTGTGAGGGTCCCGGTGTTCACACAATGCTCTGGTTATTCGACACTCTCCTGCATGTTGCAAGCTCTTGTTTGTGTGTGTTTCAGTTATGCTGGCTTGCCTTTCTGACAAACGTTTTATGCATGCGTACGTATGTTGTAATGTGCGTGCACCTGGCAGGTTGCAGCATACGAGGGGGTAGAAGAGTGCTTTGAGCACCGGTTCTGGGCTGTGGTCCCTGGGCATGTGGTGGGCACACTCACCGTCCGGGTAAGACCACGCCAGCGTTGAAGCTTCACGCGAGCATTCTGCTTATTGCAAGTTACGTTTACACGGTTCAGCGTCCCACCCACGTCTGCCACTCCTGATGCAAATTGCTATGTTGTGCAGGTTAGACAAGGCGTGGATGAGCAGAAGGTTCTAGAGCATGTGCATTCCATTTTCAATGACATCGGTGTCAGAGACCTTACTGTCCAGATTGAATCGACCTCGTGATGTAAAAACGGAAATTGTACCCTTGCTTGCAAACGCCACCGTTATCCACATCAACTATGTCAGCATTCCGTGTGGCAAGATTCACAGAAATTTGCAAGGCTATACTCCAGCCTCACACATCTGTGTATTCTACCCAGAATCAGTATTTGGTCTAAATTTCGCGTACCGTAACACCTAGATTTAGTGGTGAGTCTAAAACAGTGTGTTGTACATCTCGTTTTGCCCTGTGACCATCGCTTCTGTTCGCCTACGTGGACATTCTGACGCTATAAGGAGGACTTGGACTGATACTGGTTTGGGATCATGCCAGGAGGGCTGCCGTCATTGGCTGACTTTCGTTTTTGTGGCCAATCAACAGCGAATTGCTCGGGGATAGCGCCCCCATGTGTCCGCGTAAGAAAGGTGGTAGAAGTCGTCAGCACCAAAACTATTGGCTGCAATTCTTTTGCGGCGTCTTGGTGGTTCTGGCATACGATATCCAAAGCACGGATTTTGGTGGTGGTTGGGGAGAGTACATGCTGCTCTAGCCGTGGGAAACCTTGAGTTCCAGGCATGAGCCACTGTTGGTTGATTTTGAACCCTCCATTGCTCGTGTTGTGTTCAGTTGGACACGTATTTACCCGTCGGGCAAACTCTATTTCTTATCGGCATCCGGGGAGTAGTTCGATAATTTGTGTTGCCAGCTTCTCAGCCACAACAAAACCACAGCCCGCGAACGGTACCCTCCAAGCAGTGGGTACGAGCAAATTTTTTCTCACCAATCCCACACTCCAAGGCCGTGGGAGCCCTGGTCCTGAGCTGTCACTTCAGTGCCCCCGAAAAACTCGACCTCGAAATTCTCCCGTTGCCACTTGGAATGTTCCGCCCCCGCGCGGGGTTCCTTCCTTCCGTTCTCCACCCAGATCACATCCTCCGCTCGCCTCCAGGCCTCTTGCTAACAGGGTAATTACTCTTAAGATTAAGAGTAACTTTCCAAGTGATTCCGTTTTTTTACAGTGCGTTGTTTTTCGAATCCGTCCAACTGACGGAAACAATTTCGCGCGATTCCTTAGCCTAACAAGTTACTCGTTAACTCCCCTAGCCCATACAATTTCGAATCTGTATGGGCTATACTTGTAGCAGGGCAATCTGTAGGGCGTGGCGACCGCCCCCCCCCCACCCCCACCCCCCTCCCCCCACGCACCCCCCTCCCCCCTCCCCGCCCCAACCCCGTCTTTGATCACTAGCTAGCCGAATTTGTAGAGACCAATTGCTTTCGGTAACAGGTTTTTTGGGGGAACTCCGTCTGTTAACGGGTGATCCTGAGGCGATTCCGTCCCCTTCTGGAATACCCTGGGGCTTAGCGAGAGGCCTGCTCGCCTCTTTTTAACGTGATCGCGCGCGGACTATTCTCCGCCGAGGCGGACCCAACTGACAAAGCTGGAGCTGGAAGTCGCGCACGCTGCTGTCTCCCTGTCACGTGTGGTCCCCACTCCCGACTTCCGTACCGTTCCACCAAACCTACCAGCCCTGGGATATCCGAGCCTCGCAACAACCACTCGCCGAGTCTCCCCTCGACAGCTCAGCTCGCGTTTCCTGGCTGCTTACCTTTCCCCTCCTCGCCTCCGCCTGCCGCGGACCACCGTTTGGCGGAGCCTGTCCCAGGTGAATCTTGAGAGCGAGGAAGGAGCCTGCCTGGCGCAGCCCCCCCACCCCCACCCCAGCCACCCCCCTCCCCCCACACCTTCTTCCCCCCTTCCCCCCCCCCCCCTTCCCCGCCCTCTTACCCCACAAGCCGCTTGTTTTATCCAACCAGCGAAGTTGCCAGAAGGCGGCCTAGGCGTTACTGTACGCTTTCCCCGAGGTTCCGCCCGTGCTGCTCCCTCCCAACCTAGCAACTGTGGGATATCCCCTGACCCTGATCCTGATCCCGTATTACGTCCAGGTACGGTAGTGGAGTGCATGCTGCTCATGCTGCTTCTAAAAGCTTTGCTGAGCTGACGAGCTAAGTTTGAGCGAGGTGCTGGTGTGACATCCATCATCCACTGCTCTGTCCGTCCCTCTGTCTCTGCGACGCGGCTTACGCGTTCTTTGCTTCAGCGTAAGGGGCTTCTACTGCAAACTGTTTGACTAGACTGCTGTTGTGGCCTGATCAGGTTTGGCTTTAGTCTCCTCGTGGCGCAGATCGCCTTCGCGGGCTTTCCGGTCGGTCATTGTGACGTGTCAGTGACATTTGAAACTGGAGGAAAATTTGGATTTTCCCGTTCTTTATACTCCGCGATCTGGTGTAGCAGCCACTCCGATCAACCGAACCGCGCTGTTGTACAGTCGGCCATGACTGCTGAAGTGCAGAGCTCCCGCTTCCTCCTCCCCCTCCTTCCCATGGCGCATTCGACGCCTGTCTCCGCCGATCCCGGTGCGTCCGCGTTTGCACCGTCCTCGCTGCACAGTGCAGCAAACCCTCCATCAGAACCTTTCAGAGGGGAACAAGGATTCGAGGGCCTTGAGCCGATTAATCCCTTTAGTCTCTCGCGTTCCTCCATAGTTGTGTCCGCAATCACCGCCGCAGCAGCCGCGACAAGCGCAGCGAACCTAGCCAATCAGCATTGCCTCCAGCCGATGCCTGGTCTGCAATCGCCGGCTGACGTCAGCTTACCCATCGACATCCCCCCCGCTCTCCGCGGGACGGCGGTAGTGGCGGTAACCGGCGCGGGGATCGAGGCGAACGCGCTGAGCCCGCATTCCACGCTGAGCGGCGGAGTCACGCAGAAGATCTTCCTCAGTACGCAGTCCTTCCGCAGCTTCCCCCCCAACCTCCCCCTTTCCGCGCTCGGCTCCTGCTCCTCCTCGGGGTCCTCCTCCCCCTGCGGCGGAACGGCGGAGCGCGGCTCGCAGTCGCTTTCTGCGAAGCGGAATCACGGGGGATCAGAGAACCTGCTGAAGCGGATTAATTTTAGTATGTCGATGCCGAACCTGCACGGCTGGTTGCGGAATAAGGACAGACGGCTCGAGGAAAATTATGGCGGGTCCGCGCACGGGCCGGAGGAGGGGAGCGACCTGGCAGCTATTTTTGAGGTGCCGCAAATCACCGCGCCGAACGCGGCGCAGAACCCGGTGCAAATCGCTGTGCGGAACGCGCTGCAGAACGTGGACGGGAGCCCGTCTGGAATTGCGGTGAGCCGCAGCCACAAGGAAACGGTGCGAGAGGTGTCGTGGACCGGCGCCGTGGGCGTGACTGAAGGGGAGGACACTACAACGAGGTCGCCGGGCAAATGGCGGATTTCGCGGAGCAGTCGCAGCCACAGGGAGCACCATTCGCGAACTGGCTGGGCGACGATCGGCGACAAGATTCGCCTGTCGTCGCTGTCGTCGAGTCGGTTGCTACCTGGGAAGAACTTCTTGCGAAGCCATCACGGGTCGATGAATGCCATGGGCTTCGCAGGAGCCACGGGGGCCATGGGTCCGTCGGGAGGCGAGGACCTTATTAACATGAGTCTTGCCCAGTCCTGCGCCGCTCCTGCTCCCGGAAATCCACAAAGGCCGACGGGGGTCGCGGCGGAGGCAGCGGGGGCCGAAGGGGGGCGCGAGGGGGAGGGCGCGGATTGTGAGGGGGGCGAGGCGGAGCTGTTGGGCCTGGAGGCGGAGGAAGGGATCGTCGTGTCCTGGTCTTTGAGTAGCGACGCTGGGGGCCGGGGGGATGGCGGAGCCGTGTGCGCATCCACGGCGGAAGCGGGGGACTCAGCGGGGGGAGCGGAATGGGCGGAAGGGGTGGCGGGGGAGGACCGCATGCAGGTGGTGGCCTCCGGTAACGGCTACGTGTTCTCCGCCGTTTACGACGGGTTCACTGACACGTCAGCAGCGGATTTTCTCCTCGCGAATCTGCACACGCGCTTCGCCGAGCAACTAGTCGCTCGCGGCTTGCATTTCGGGGAGGCGAAATCCTATGCCTCACCGGCCGCGGCGCAAGGAACCGACTGTGCGGCGGCTGAAACAGCGGCGGACGTAGCCGCGGTAAAAGATGCGGGATTCGGGGGGCAGGGGGAAGCCGCCGGGGGCGCGCAGGTGCAGGTCACGCCGCGGCGGCACGAGAAGGTTCTAGAGGCACTAGCCGCGGCTTTAAGCGAGACGGAAGCGGCGTACTTTGAGTCGCTGGAGGAGCGCATGGCGGAGCGGCTGGAGCTGGGCGTGGCGGGCGCGTGCCTCGTGGTGGCCGTGGTGGCCGGGCGCGAGCTGTACGTCATGAACCTCGGGGACTGCCGCGCCGTGGTGGTGGCGGAGGGGGGGGGAGGGGAGGAGGTGGCGGAGGGGGAAGGCGAGAAGAAGATGGGGGAGTTGCGCGCGACGCTGCTGACTGAGGACCACAACACGAGCAACGAGCAGGTGAGAGTGATGGCGGCACCGGCGTCAGCAGCTGTTTCTAACAGTGCCTGATTTCCCTCCTTCCTACTTTATGATGACGTTGCTCCCCGTGCGCTGTTGTGTGTTGTTGGTTTTCTTGCAGGAGGTAGAGAGGGTGCGGAGGGAGAGGGCGGACGATCCAGATGCGATCACAAAGATGCGAGTCAAGGGCAAGCTCAAGGCCACCAGGGCGTTCGGTGCCGCCTATCTCAAGAATGTAAGCTCTTAGTTCTGTTCTTGCTCTCGCCTTTCTTGCCTTGTGCTACCACATTGCCTACTGTTCACGTGCAAGTGCTTCCACTTGAGCAGCTTGTATTTTTCCGTCTAACACCTCCCATTCCTTCTTGCCCTCCCTCTTCCCTCTCCCCCCCCCCTCCCACCAGCCTCAAGTCAACGCCATGCTCCTGGGCATGCTGCGGGTGCAGTACGTGGGCTCACAGCCCTACATCTCCTCTTCGCCGCACCTCCACCACCTCACCCTCTCCCCCTCGCACCGCTACCTCCTCCTCTCCTCCGACGGCCTCTACCAGCACATGACCCCCGCTGATGCTGCTGCCTCCGTGTCCCGCGCTCTGGCTGCTGCGAAGGCGTCTCGTGCCAGCAGGAATTCGTGTGACGGGGAGACGTGCGGGCTGAATCTCTCACATGCACTGGTGCAGGAGGCGCTCGATCGAGCTGCGAAAAGAGCAGGTGTGTGCTTCAATCTCACCTGTGCTACGGGATAGGATGCTGCTAATGTTTGTGGTAGAGTGGAGTTGTAGGCGAAGCTTGTTGTATTGTACCCATCTGACATGTGGTTCATTCGCCCCGCAGGTATGACTGTCGAGCAACTCCTTCAAATACGAGCAGGGGATTATCGCCGGCAATTGCACGATGATTTGTCGGTTACAGTTTTGGAGCTGCAATGCTAGCTTCGTTGTTGTCACATACTAAACCCCCACTGCGTGCCATGGCTGGTGGTCATGCACTGGCCTTAGGCATAAAACATTGATACCAATGTGCTATGCTATAGTTTCAAATGAATGTGAAGCTTCTCTAAGCGTACAGAACCAAATTTATCACCTTATTAAAGCAGGGAAGCCACTGCTCGTTTACTATGCTTGGTTATAGTCACTTGGTCCCCTCGTTGGTATATGTGGTGAAAAATCATCTTTGTCCCTTTGTATCGCCCTATGATGCGCGATCTCCCACTTGAAGTGTACCAGCACCCCCTCCAAACACCATATTGCAGCGGCCAAAATCCAGTGGCATTTCACTTCGCACATTGGATCGAGCTAATCGACGGCCGAGATCTCCTCGCGGTTCGCAGAGTGCGAGCATGCCAAGGTTGGAGCCCTCATCCGCCCAATGCACGCCACCTCCTGCTTCAGTTTGAATCCGCATATGACAGAAACCTCCTGCCAGGCAGTGCCTCAGGGTCAGGAGGAAATCCAATTCCTGGTTCAGTGCTCCTGATGCTCCTCTTTCCTCTCATCTCCAATTCCCTCCTGACTGCCCTGCAATCTCCTAGAAACCCTTGCATTGTGGTTGTGGGGTTCCTTGCAGCTGGCTGCTTATTCCTCCATGCACGCCTCTAGAGTCACCACCTTCGTGTTTGTTTTCCCGGCCACGTCTTGAACATCGTTCGGAGCTAAGCTGGCTTGAGGAGGAACCTGCATGGCAGGTATCGGAGCTAGCACGTATCGGAATTAGCACCGATCATGGCGTGCGATACATAAGCTTTCATCTACCTCCAGTGGTCCCTTTGCTTAACTTATCCTGTTCGTATTCCAGATTGTAGGAACTTTTAGCTGCATTTTCCTTTTCCTCTGCACGAGCACGATTTCCATTCTACCCTTTTCGATGTCAGAAGAATGCAGATTCCTAGATCTAAGGTTATGTTGTTTCTCAAGTTCCGCCTTCTATTCCACTGATAATTACGTCTTGGGTTGTTTGCAGGATGGCATCCACTGCTGATTCTGGTGGTCCGCTGAGGGAGTACATGCCAGATTCGTCTCGAGGCTCCCAGGACGGTGCGAACGAGGTACTCGTAGCACCAACCTGCATTTCGTGTTTTTTCTCTCTCTCGCTCTCTCCGAGTGGTATGTGATTTATACTATAAACTCGCGATTCCTTTTTTGTGCAGGCTGCCCGTGTCACCAATGGAGGAGCACCATCTACTCTTCCATCCCCTCTTACTGAAGAGCTTGGCCAAGGCGCTCAAGCGCCTGGATTCACGAGCTCTGAAATCAACAGTTCTGGAAGGCCTTCTAATGGCGTTAACGGGAACATTTCACGAGATCCTAGCTCTCCCTCTCCGCGAAACCAGCTAACATTCACAACGGATAACAGATCTCCTACAGGGCAAGCCAGTGCCAATATTCCGGAGGCATCTTCCTTCTTGGCCCTTATCCAGGCAGCAGACGCTCAGGGGGGAGGAGCGGAGACTATCACAACAACACCTGCTACGACATCCCCTGCTGCTGATGGGAGTAGGGGTCTCAATGTTGGATCTGCTCCTGCAGCCTCGGAAGGCCTGAGGGATGTGACAATATCGGGGCTGCACGACGTGACAATATCGGGAGCTGACAATCTGAACGTGAGGCGGAGGCTGTTTGTTGACTCCGTTGGCAGCCCCCGAGGCCCTCGCCGCCATCATGGCGTGCTCTCCCCACCCGTGACAGGTATTCTGAGCTCTCCGGCCGTGATTCCATGGGGAGCATGTACGATCATCATGCGTGAGTGACTGATTATATCAGTCGGGCATGCGTCACTGATTATGCCAGTGATGGAGGTCTGGTAAGTAGATCACGCATGCTTGATTGGCTGTATGTTGCATGTGTGGATTTATAGATCATGTGAATCATGCATGATTGATAGACCTTTAATGGATAACTGTTCAGTGCATCATGCATGACTGATTGTCTATGCGATGCACGACTGACTTGGTTGGTCAGGCATGACAGCGCATAGGTGTACAAAGCCGTTGAGTTGTTGGATCACAGCTGACCGAATGACCATGTTTGTGGCCTGTGCAGGAGGTGGAGGAGGAGCAGCTGGAGCGGGAGCAGGAGGAGGGGAGGCCACAAGGCGACAGGCCGGGAGAAGGAAGAGGTTATTGCCCAGCGAAGAGGTGTGCGCTTGCTGCCATGAACTCCGTTCTAGCAAGATTCAGATGATCATCGTGTCGTGTCTCCTGCCGCGTCTTATCCCACTGGCTGTGCTGTAACTCTCGTTGCCCTCACTGCCATGTCCTTGCCTATTCTAATTCAGGAACGCATGAGAGCGTTCGGAGAGAGCATTCATTGGCGGCTGGAGGGCATTGAGACGTCAGGGAAAGCGCACGAGTTGTGCCTAGACCTGGGCTCCGACATGCGCTTCCTCAAGAAGTGGCTTACAGCCAACAACCCCAAGACGGTCAGTTGCTCTGGGGGGTTTTCTCCTGACCCTTTGTCAAAATTTCCTGAGGGTGGTGAGGTGAGAGCGTACTTGGAGCTTATTTCAGTTGTTTGCTTGTGATCCAGGGCACCTCTAACGTCGAGCCTCTGTCTCAAGACCCCGCACGGCATTTGTGGGACATCAGGCGGCACGCAACGCCCACTGGGTTCAAGGACCGCAGCACGCCAGGAGTCATGCCCGAGTTTCCCTCCGTACCAGCGCCAGGACTGGCAGGGATAACGCCAGGAATGCTGCCCGGCGCATATTTCACTGGGGTCCGAGACGGCCCCTCGGCATCCGATCCTGCGGGGAGAGGTTTCAGTTTGCTGCAAGAGTTGGAGGCAGAGACAGCAGCAGCAGCAGGGGGGCAGCAGCAGCAGCGTGGCAGCATGGTGCAGGCCATGCAGGAAGCTATGGAGGAAGACGCCCCTGGCGGCTCCAACCCCTTTCACTGGCCCATGGGGCATAGACCCGCCGGCTATGGGGCATCTTCTCTCGACTACCCAGCTCACCTGTCGGGGGTGGGGTATGGAATGGGGTCAGCAGCTGGAGGGACCATGCAAGGCCTTGACTTTCTCAACTTCCCACAGCTTTCAGGGAGGTCGCACAGGCAGGGAGCAGGAAGAGGGGACGACCCATGCGGTATGATGGGGGCATCGAGAGGGCTGTCTCATAGGATGTTGATGGACGAAGGCCGGATGCTCATGGGTCAAGAGGAGGCTGGCGTGGAAGGGATGGGTGGAGCTGGCATGATGGGCTACCCGCAGTACCACCATGGCCTGGAGCCATCGCCGCTTACCCGCACGTCCTCTGGCCACATCATCATGCCGCCCAGCCACGTCAGCATGTCAGAGAGGGCATACCTCCAGCAGCCATCTGCCACCTCGTTCCAGAGCCTCCTTACCGCCCCTGAGAGGACGCTCCTCGAATGGCCTGACAGGGGTCTCCCTTTCGACACGGGCCCACCTTATGGTGGTGGTGGTGGTGGGGGTGCTTCCAGTGCAGGCCTGACTGACTCCATGCTGTGGACTGCCGGTTTGCACAAGGACCTGGGAGGCACAGCCAAGATTGGAGGAACTGCCGGGGTGGGAGGAACAGCAATGATGGGTTCTGGGGAAACTCCAGCGGCTGGGATCCAGGCACAGCAGCAGCAAGAGGGGAGTCTGGAGCAGCAGGGTGAGCTGGGGGGCACCAGCAGGGGCGATGGCGGGAAACTTGCTGAAGCAGGGGGTGGTTCAAACGGAGCACATGCTGGTGGTGCAAGGGGGGATGGGGGGGAGACGCGGGTTGGAATGGAGGGCAGCGCTGGTGAGGGGGATGGTGCAGGGGCAGCAGAGGGGGTGGGAGGAGAAGCAGCGCTGCAGAGGTCATCTCGGTTGCCCCCATGGATGAGGAAGCAGCTGGAGCAGTCAGGCAGAGCCCTTGGGGGCGATCCTTTCCGTGTGTCATCCCCTCGGATCGCCTCCTCTCCGTTCCTCTCCTCCCATTTCTCCACCCCTCTCTCCTCTCCTCACCTGCCTTCTCCCAGCTTCGCTCCCGCCCAAACCTCCCCGTTCTCTTCCCCGTGCCTCTCCCACCTTCCCCCCCCCCGCCTGCCTAACTTCCACCGCCTCTCCATCTCCATCCCGCCCAGCCCTCCCCCCTTCGGCGCACACTCCCCCATGGGCGCATATTCCGCCATGGGCGCACCTTCTCCCTCCCCCAGAACCCCCAGCGCCTCCCCCTTCCCCTCACACTCCCCCTTCTCTGGGGGCTTTCCTTCCGCCGGCGCCAACCCACCTTCCCTGGTGAGGCTCTCCCCGAGTGTGGCTGCGAGCAACCGCAGCAGGAGGAGGGCCGCCTTGCGTGCCCACCATCTAGGGGCGCACATACCGGGTAAAGGGCGGCACGGGGGAGGGAGGGGCGGAGGGCATGGGGGGTCTCTGGGGTCCCCCAAGAGGAGTGGGCGGATGGGGCATCAGAGGATGAGGATTCAGGAGATATCGGGGAGTTTGAATGCGGTTGGGGATGGGATGGGGCACGGGCAGGGGCTGCTGGGTCAGGTGCAGCAGATGAGTCTAGTGCAGCAGGCAGTGAGCGCGCATGTGAGTGGCAGCAGCAGTGGTGGTGGTGGTGCCATCGGGGGGAGCAGGCTGCGCCCACAGGCTTCACTCACTGAGTCGGAAGGAAGGTAGGACCACACAACTCCAGTCCACACCTCAACCCTGTAGCAGTGCACGCAGGAATACCCAGTAGCTCCCTGGTTTGTCTGGTGTGCTCCATGGGATTTTTCTCCCTGCCCACCATGTCTGCCGCATGACCGTTTCTCCTCCCTTCCATGTGCGTGTACGCCATGCAAGGTTTTCATCCGCCTTGTGTGTCAATCATGTATGTTGGGTCTGATGTGGTGCCTGTGCCCCCGACATGCAGGGAAGTCAGGGCCTTGTGTTTGGAGCCGCTAACCCGCAGGGGGTCTCTTACCCGGTCAGAGGGGGAGGGCAGTGGCGGCAGTGGCGGCAGCAGGGGCACGGCACTGCCACGCAGGAACGCGAGCATGGGGGCCAATGCTGACGTGGCAGGGACTGCTGACGTGGACGGCGGTGCTGACATGGACTCCAAGTCAGGCGGCTCAGCTGGCAGCACGCCGAAGCAGCTGCAAGGCGTGTCTCAGGACCTCTCTCCAGCCACCGGCACTGGGTTCCGAGGATATGGCTCCAAGGTAAGCCTCTGACATTCTCTTAGTACGTGCTTCACCGTATAATTGGCTCTTCGGAGAGCTTCCAGGTGAGCCTGTGGAGCCTCAATGCCCTTATCCTTCCTCTCCCCCCCACCCAACCCCAGAGCAAGGCGATTGGCATGCACTTTGAGAAGCTGCTGACGGCGAGCGACATGAGCCCCTGGGAAGGATCGTGCTGCCCAAGGTGCCACACTGTGCTGTGAGATGACTCAGAACTCTGCTCTTCTTCGCTCCCTCCTCCTACCCCCCACCCCCCCCAACCCCAGAGCAAGGCCTTCGGCATGCTGTTTGAGAAGCTGCTGACGGCCAGCGACACGAGCCACCTGGGGCGCATCGTGCTGCCCAAGGTGCCAGCAGAGCGCTTCCTGCCGCACGTGGAGAGCAAGGAGGGCATTCTGATCATTGTTGAAGACTCCATCGGAGGCCAGTGGTGCTTCCGCTACAGGTGTGTGTGATGGTGGTGATTCCGCTACAGGTGTGTGTGATGGTGGTGCTTCCGCTACAGGTGTGTGTGATGGTGGTGCTTCCGCTACAGGTGTGTGTGATAGTGGTGCTTCCGATATAGGTGTGTGTGCTGCTGATGTTACAAGTGTTAGTCTTGACATGCCTCGCTGCTTCCTGCCACACGTGGAGAGCAAGGAGGGCATCCTCATCATCGTCGAGGACTCCATTGGCGGCCAGTGGTGCTTCCGCTACAGGTGCGTGGGATGGAGGTGCTGTTGGGTTGCGTTTGTGTTGGTATTCCCACAGATCGCTCCACAACTGAGTGGCTTCCAAGCTGAGAGTTGAGAAAAGCCCAGTGTGGAGTGACGCTGGGTGCATCTGTCCAAGCTTATGATGCTGACGGTATGACTCGGTTCTCTGTGCGCTGCAGGTTTTGGCCCAACAACCGGAGCAGGATGTACGTGCTGGAGCACGCAGGTGGGCGTCGCTGCTGAAATTCGTGGTTTTGTAGATGTGAATTATCAATTACTGGCATGCATAACTCTTGGCTAATGGTGCTTCGGTGAGAATTGCTGTGTTCTATTTCTTCGTGGCTATCACACGCAGGGGACTATATTCGCAAGTACGGTCTCACAGCAGGAGACACCGTCGGCTTTTACCGCTCCGAGTTCGGCCATCTGGTGAGTCGGATGGTCTTCTCTTGACATCTTGCTCTCTGGCCATCACTCATCACCTAGCGCTCTTCGAACTTGGGGTTTGTCATCAGCACTATCCCATAATATATCCAACCCGCCCCGTGTCCCCCGCCCCCCGTTGCCCTTGTTTTTTTTGCACAACCCCTTGGTCGGGCAGATGCTGAAGGAACAGAAGGCACAGCCAACAGTGCTCGCAGCTCCTCCCCACGTCGCCAGCCCTTCCCTCCTCACCGCCCCCACCACTCCGGCTCCTGTCCTCGCCCTCTCCACCAATCCGGGGCCACTCTCTGCTGTCCCCATCACCACCCGCACCACAGCTCCTGTCACTATTTCTACTACCCCTTCCGGGGTCCCTCTATCCTCTCTGCCTGCTGTGTCTAGCATCACACAGGACAGCCTACCCCAGTTACCACCTCCCCCTACCGCCTCCTCCTCTGGTTTCCTGCACCCGCTGCCTCTCCCTCACTCCCTCCTCCTCACTCAGTCTCTCCCCCTCCCTCACTCTATCGACCGCTTCCAGGGGAGCATGCAGGAGCAGATGGGGAGTGAACAGATGGGGAGCATTCTTCCTGCGCACGTCCCTCTGCAGATCGACCACCATCTCCCCTCGCCCCTCAGGCACACACCCCGCCCTCTCAGGCTACTCTCTGTGCCTTCCCTGCCTCGCACCCCCACACTGCCACCTGATGCCGAGGGATTGACTGCTGCTGCCGCGGGATTGACTGCTGCTGCCGCCGCCACTTCTGCTGCTGCGGCCAATGCTGGGGGTGGTGTCGGTAGGAATGGAGGTGCGCAGGGGGGGTACAGGCCAGATGCGGTGCAGAAATCGGTGGGTGAAGCAGGAGGGGCCATTGGAGGGGCACCAGAGCAGGCACAGGGGGTGGCAGAGAGAGGAGTGGCCGAGGCAAGTTTGAGTGGTGGTGCAATCGCGGACTTGAAGGAGGGGTTTGAGGGAAGCTGGCAAACGGCTGTTGCCATGGCGCTTCTCCCCGGCGACCGTGGTTACGAGGAGCCTAATCGTGGATTCGGGGGGCGAAGCATTGGATTTGAGGAGCTTAGCCACGGCTACCACGCAGCAAGTGGCTGCAATGTGCAGGATCAGGGTACTGCAGTTGTGGGCCAGTTGCAGCTCCATGGAGATCTGGTTGGAGGAGTGGAGAGGGGCGGAGAGAAGGGCATGGAGAGAGGTGGGCGGGCGATGGACGAGGCGGAGTTCACAGGCATGGGCCCCGGACTGGGGGAGACAGAAGCAGAGCGGCCGGCGCATATGGGGAATCATCTGGACGCACTTATGGAGGATGCAGAAGCAGAGGAGGCATTGGGTGAGAAGTGACGTGGTTTGCAACAGGTTTTGCATCTCTTCTACGAATGTGGCTGCTGTTCACCTCTTACCTCACTCACGTGTGCCTTTGTTGACTTTGCTTGCAGGTTTGCACCAGCAGCCGTTGCAATGCATGGCACCCCCTTTGCCAACTACCGGAGTGGCACTTGAACGATGCTCTAGCCTTTCAACGACAGAGAAGTGTCTCGAGATGCTTGATGCTGACAGTGCTCGTGGGCACTAATGCATACTGCTAGAGTGAAATGGCACTGCATGTGATGCTGCCTAATGTTGATGCCTCAGGGATATTCTGACAGCGAGTTGGTAGGAGGTGTTTCTTCAAGAACCATGTGTTGTACTAACCATGTAATGGGACATAACGAGCTTACTCACCTCGTATTTTTGCTAAGCTGTTAGACTGATCTGCTTGTATCGAGATTCAGATCTTCCTCTCTGCAGCGCATTCAGATCAGTCAGCTTGGCTATTTTTTTAGGGCATTGTGGGCTTACGCCTGTCATTCCGTCAATCTGTCTGCTATGGCTTGCCCAAGTTGCCAACGTCGCAATACGACATGATGACCATCGTGACTTTCAGGCAGGTCATAAACTCCTGCCTGTCGCACGCGCTACTTGCGACAGCTCGCTTGTCGCATGATGTCTCAGATCTGTCCACGGGCGTCGCAAAGCTGCCTTGCTGCGACGTCCTCTGTCTTTCGCAGGATCGCTCATCTTACTGCTCTTATCCTCGTCCTGTCGCCCGTCGCCGCATCTGTCGGACACCCTAACGCCCGTCGCAGAGCTGTCGCCCATCGTTTCTGGATTAATGACCTCAGTGGCGACTTAGTGTCGCTTAGCGATGAACCAGTCACCGCGTCAGACGCAGCACTCGCAGATCGCACGGAGCACACACGTCGCACGGGTCGCACAGATCGTTCAGATCGCACGGATCGCAGAGGTCGCTGCAAGTGCTTTCAGATCCGACCGACTCGAAGCGTCGCACAGCACGCGAAGCACGTGGCTGGCCTAATCCGCGATAATCGATCCACCGCAGCCGCGAATCCGGCCTTCGCGAATCCGGCCTTCGCGAATCCTCTGAATTATCATATGGCACCTGTCGCGATGTCGCCGCGCGTCGAAAGAAGATTCCAAGGACGCACGAAGCGACGATGCGACGACATGAGGAGGGTGTCTCGAGCTGTCCACGTGGACCAGCAGTCAGTACGGTGCTGACCTGGACTGAGCTGTGCCGAGCTGGCACTGATAGTTCGTGCTGTTCCGTCGTGTCCGGGATAGTTTCCGAGATTTTCCAAGGACGGCTATAAATGACAGTACAGTACCGGATACCGGTTCATATCTGTCAGGGGTGCTGAGCTGGCATAGATCGCACGCCAGTCGATCTGTCACTGACTGCTGAACTGTCAGTAGCTGCTGAGCTGTACGTGCTGCGCTGGCGTTACGACATCTTGACATCCCGAGCGTCCGTGGAACCATCAGCCAGCTGAGAGCACAAGCAGGCCTCTAGTGACCTCGTAAGGTGTCCCTGAGTCACGCTTACGCGAAGCGCTCTTGGATCGGGTCGTCTGCGCGTGGTACGGAGCTGGTCCGTGCTGTCTTTACCAGCCGAACGCGCGGTCAGATGTCCGAAAGTCCGCGTTGCCCGGACGCCGGTCACGCTCTCCCTCTGCTGGCTCGCGCGGCTTGGCTTGGCATAGAGAATCCACAGGTCCACGCAACGGTCCGCGACATCACGCAATAAACCAGGTCGTCTGTCGGCCGTCGATCTATTGGCTTCTGATTGGTTACTGACGTTCCGCACCCTCTCCGTCGTTTCGTGGCGGTGCAGTCAGACGAGCGGCCCTAGGGATTGCCGAGCCCTACTTAGACATCATCGGAGCCGAGTCATTGGAGGAGCCTTGCCGATGCAAATCGCGCTCTTCGTTACGACCATTAGTACGGCGCTGGCAGTTCCGTGTGCGTGTCAGCTTCCTCACCCGCTTGTGCGTCCCGCGTCACTGCCTGCCGGGTCCACGACGACGAAGCGTATGACACTGTTGCGTGCGTGACAAGGGACGGGGGGAGAGGCGAGACAACGAGACCACGGGACAGGAGCAGCGAGACAAGGGCGAAGGGACGAGGGACAGGAGCAGCGAGGCAGGAAGCAGCGGCGTGGCTGACAGGTGCAGCCCCCTGGAAGAAACATCCCGTGGTGCCAGAATCTGCGCTTGATTCCTCGGAACCTGACCGTTTCTGCAGGAGCGGGCCGTTCCTCTAGTTGCGCCCGTCCCTGGGGATTTACGGGCACCACAAGTAGCCGCTAGCCGCTAACCACTCGCTAGCTGGCCAATTTTCCAGCCGGCTAAATTTCTGTGGTTTACAAGGTACGGTAGCAGCTGCTGTGGATCGAGTCGGGGTTTTGAACAGGGGTTTGGCGAGACAGGCGAGTCGGAAGCAGGGAGAGAGGGGGGAGAGGAGGCAAAAGGGTGAGTTTGAGGAAAGGGAGGGGCGAGGTGTGGTCGATTATATGTAGGTTGATCGTTCACTCGCTTCTCTGTTCGAGTCCTACATTTCTTACCCGGCTTTCCTCAGCGCCATTCAGCAGCTGCGCCCGTTTCTGCGCTTGCCGGTGCTTACCTCGTTTCTCTCCTCGTTAAACACCAGCAGCTCTAACCCACCCACCACGGTATCCTGCTTCTTAAAGCCTGTATAGCCTGCAAGGCGCGGCCATACGACTGTCCTTTCTCCTTCCTCTGGCCGCAAGAGTCGCCAGCATGCAACTCTTTGGAGCTCGTTTGAGTGACCAGAGTCAACCGAGTCAACAGAGTCAACACGGCCTGCCGAGCCAGCACGATTACCACAACCTCCACTCCCAGCAGCACCACTCGCTGCAGCAGGAGTACCAGCAGCACTCTCACCACCAGCGGCAGCAGCAGCAGCAGCAGCAGAACAGCTACAGAGGCAACAGGTGCAATGGTGTGGCAGTGGCCACATCCCCTGCCCTGCAGGGTGCTTACCGCTCCAGAATCGTGTTGGAGCGCCTTCACCGTCAGCACCCCCTGCCGCAGCTCTCCCAGCAGCAGCACTCCCAGCAGCAGCACTCCCAGCAGCAGCACTCCCAGCAGCGCCCCCAGCAGCAGCACTCCCAGCAGCAGCACTGCTGCAGCCGCAGCCGCGACTGGGGAGGCAGGGAGAGCAGGTGTTCTGGCAGGTGCCATGGCACGGACGGTGGCGAGAATGCAAGTGCGCTGCTGTGGCTGCTGGGGAGAGCGGTCGAGGAGGGAGGGGGGGAGGAGGGAGACGATCAGGCGGAAGGGAAGAGTGCTAGGGACGGAGTGTGCTGCTGTGGGTTGAAGGGTGGGAGAGATGCGGATCCACGTGGCACCTCTATTGTGCGTGAACACTCAGCCTTGAGACACTCGGCCTTGGCACATTCGCCCTTGAGTTACTCAGCCAAGCGTTCTTCCGCAGAGCTCTCGCCCTTGAAGCCCTCGCACTCGTCTGTGGAGCCCTATGCTACTAACGAGGCTGCTACTAACGAGGAGAGAAGAGCATGCGCAGTCAACCCCAACCCAGATTCAGCTACAGCTGCTGCTACAGAAACAGGCGGACTGTGCACGGATATTGGCCTGGCTCTGCTCCCAACGCCCCCCCCACCTGCCCAAACGCTATTCCGCCTGCAGACCATGGCTGGTGGCGGCAGCACAGATGGCTGTGGGCGGGAGGGTGCGGGCGGCAAGAGGAATGACATGATGATCTACGCGTCTCCACAGAAAGACCGTTCCTCTTCTTTCCTCCGCCCTGCTCGTGCTCCTGCTGCCACCATTTCCCCTGTCCTCCTCCTGCCACCCCTTCGCTCCCCTCTGCCCCCCGCTGCTCCCACCCTTTCCCCCCCTTCGCCCAACCTCTCCCCCGTCTCCCCTCTCGCCCTGCCTGGCCCTGCTTCCTGTTCTCCCTCCCCTGCTCCTCTCTCCCCTCGTGCTGCTCCCCTCGCTCCCCTCTCCCCTTCCCAACCCCCCTCTGGCTACCCGTGCCGCGTGTGCGGAGCCCTCTTTGCCTCGGGGCCGGCCCTGGGGGGGCACATGAGGAGGCACCTCAGTGGGGGGTTCGAGGGAGGGGGGAAGGGGGAGGGGGGGAGATGGCTGGAGGAGCAAGGGCACTGGGAGAAGCACCAACACTCGGGGGCAGGAAGGATGGGAAGGGAAGGAAGGGTGGGAAGGGAAGGAGGAGGAGCGAGTCTGAGCGGAAGGGAGCAGCAGCACATGGGCTGTGAGTGGAGGGGCAGAGTGGGTGCGGCACCAGGGAACATGCCACTGCCTCACGACAATTGTCAACTTCTGCAGCACCGGAGTGCAGATGCCGACCGCATGTCCATGCTGGCACGGGGCGTGGGTGCTGCTTGTGGCGTTCGTCCCGCCGCACACTCTAGCAGACCTTCGCTTGTGCTGGCTAGGGGGGTCTCCTTGGCACGTGCTGACATGGCATGTGAGCAGAAGCAGCAGCAACAGCGAGTGAGTGCCATGCTGAGCCAGGTGCAGATGGCGCAATGGAAGAGGCCCTATGTGGATGCAATGCGATGGAGGGATGGCAATAAGCACATGGATGAGAGGGAGGAAGAAGCCGAGGAGAGGTGTAAGAGACGTGTATTATTGCCCTTCGCCCCACTTGCATTGCCCCAACTCACTTCCTCACAAGGTGGATCAGTCAAAGGAGCTCCCACGAAGCAAGGCTCATCAGCTGCTGCTTTTGTTTCACTAGAGGGTGCACATAGCTTGCCGGCCATACAACAAAGGACTAATCACGACGTGCAATCCTCTTGCAAGGCCCCAGCCAAGGCAGCAGCCACTGGAGATATTGACCTCTCGTTACATCTTTGAGCTAGTTTCTGTAACTTGTACTAACTACGAACTTAAAGATTATTTGCATTCACGCGCTCTCATGAGTTGGGCGTTTGTAGCGTATGGGATGCAGCACTACACACAACCGAATTTTTTTGTGTGGTCCACGTGTAAGTAGATGAATCGCTGATGCCCTTTCGGGGCTGAGCGAGATATCGGGAAAATAGGTTCCTCGCCGACCATTTTGGCTTCTGGAGCTGGTTTCGCAACAGCAATTTCGGTTACCATCGCAGGCTGGAACCTTCTCAGCGAACGTTTTCGTTTTCGCTTGCACGGTTCATGCAGGTCCTTCATCGAGCCTCGTTCATGAACGAAATCCCCTCATCGCACTCCCATTTGCTGGCGCTCGCTGGGACTGACTTGTTCACCCACACTGCGTCGCTTGCTCCCTCTCGGCTTGTGCTTCTTGGAAGAGATTCGTCCGACTTGCCTGTCCAGTACCACTGCTGTTTCTGTATGGTGTTCATTCCTTCAATTCATTTTGCCACAGGTAGTTGATCGCCCCAGTTCGTTCTCCTTACGCTAATTTCTGGAGTCACACTATTTTCAGGAGCTCTTGGTGTGTCACATCAACTTTAGCTTGTTCTTAGTCCTCCTTCGCCGATCATGGCTGCTCTTGCCGCCACTACCCTTGTCAGCGCTTCACTCTCCATTGCTCCACGGCAGCATGCAGCACTGAAGGCCCAATCTGCTAGTGCTAAGAACATGAACAAATCTGTGGCCCTCCGATCACATAGGCGGCCTTCCGCCGTCCGATGCAGCGCTGGAGGTAAGCAATTCCCGGTTTCATTTCCACCCTCCGCGTAATTACGTCTCACCGCATTAACACCGTCTCCCCTTTATCCCATGAATAGCTTCCAAGCCTTGGCTGATTTGAAAAACCCTTCATTCCTCGTTTGCAGGAGCGACTGCAGCACCGGCGGCTCCGGCCGTGGTTCCGGCGATCACGCTGTCGGAGAAGGCGCTGGCGCATCTGACGAAGATGCGCGCCGAGCTGAACAAGGACCTGCTGCTGCGCATCGGTGTGAGGCAGGGCGGCTGCTCGGGCTTCTCGTACGTCATGGACTTCGAGGAGCGAGCCAACATCCAGGAAGGCGACTCTATTGTCGACTACCAAGGCTTCTCCATGGGTGAGAAATAAATTTCCAGCGCTCTTTTTCCCAATCGAGCAGGCGTCTCTTTGTTGCAAGACCCTGTACCTGTCTTACGCTGACCTTTTCTGTGTGCTCTTTGCTCCTCCATCTCTTATCTTTTCTTCATTGATTCCTGCAGTGTGTGACCCCAAGAGCCTGCTCTTTCTGTTCGGCATGCGGCTAGACTACAGTGACGCTCTCATTGGAGGTGGCTTCTCATTTAGCAACCCTAACGCTTCCTCTACTTGTGGCTGTGGCAAATCCTTCGCTGCCTAGACCTAGATTCCAACATGTACATATATTCTAAGTGTACCAATTCATTGTGGAACGATTTTACACTGACCTTGGTTATGTGTAGCTGCACGGCTGTCCTTTTCTTGAATTGAGTGTAAAGCCAAACTATAACATAACATACTGCAAGAGGAATATACGGTAGCATAACATGGCAAATATATATTTCTTCGCTGTTGAATCAGCTCCCATATCGAGCCACCCGCCGCGTGTGATAAGCACGCCTGTTCTGGAGTCCTCCAAACCATGAGTCTAGCATGGAACGCCCAGCAGCCTACACGTGTACATTCCACGTCCGCATTCCCCGCCTGACATGGACGAGATCCCCCACCACGGCTGAAAATAACAGGGTTATCACCCTGTCTTGACTGAAAATCCAAGGTGTTTTTTATCGTAGCCCGTATTTCACATAGGCTTTTCCCCAACCAGCCCGGAATTACACAGGGAGAAATTCCGTGGGACCCGTACATATCCGGGGGAACTACAGGGAAACCCGGACCTTTTCCCTTCTCCAAACCTCCCCCCCCTCCCCCCTTCCTTTCCCCGCCAACGCCCCCCCCCACCCCTTCCTCAAACTCCCCCTCCAAACACTTCCAAACCCCTTTTTTTTCTGGCCTCAACTTTTTCCCCCGCCCAAACTCGCCGCTCTCCCCAATTCCCCCCCCCCCCCCACCCCCCAAATCTCGCCCCACACCTCTCTAAGCCCGGTACATTCGGGAGCCGCCTTGCTGGAAGCCGGGGTCATAATCGAACATAGCAAATTCCGCTAAGCATCTTTTAGCGCATTAAGCGAAGATTTTGCCCGTGGTTTACCCTAGATTCGCGAATACTTGCGCTTATTGTCGTTGCACCTCTCGGATATGACCTGTATTCTGTATCACTTACAGATTGAGTCACCATCTTGGGTGGTGGGTGATCCTCTCCCCCCTCATCCCCTCTGCCGTGGCGCTGCAGGAGCGAGGCCAAACCCGATTGCCCAACCGAAGTATTGGAGTGGGCACATTTTTCCCACCCCGCAATAATTGGTGGTGCTCAGGCCTTTTTCGGCTCGGACCCTGATTCATCCGAGCAATTTTTGGCTCAGCTCGGGTTTTACAGGGGTTTTTTCAGATGGGCCCAAATCGTCCGAGCTAGCAAAATACCTAGCTCAGGCCCTGTCCCCCACACCATGATTCCTTGAGCCTCACGCATCCTGAAATTTCCAGAATTTCTGCCCAGTGCTTGCTGGGTGAGAAATCACCACTTTCAAGCATGTTTCTTGAGAAGCATATTTCTGCCACCTCGCAGATTTCGAGTAGCGGGATTCCCGAGGTTCCTGCGAAATTCACCGCTTCCCTGCAACGCCTTCAATACTTACCAGCGACCAGCGCACTCAAAGCTCGTGAGCGCTACGTAGGTCGGGCCCCATGGAGCTTTGCGTATCGCAGTTAGCATTCCGCGCAGCTCCTCCGGACTCCTCCACTCGAGGTTTGCTTGGCATACAGCAATCCAAGCGTAGCTCTCCAGCCCCGTCGTGCGCTTTCCTCGCACGACGCTCAACCGCCTTGCACGGTCGCAGCTCGCCTAATCTCCGCGTCCCACGGCTCTGCAAGAAGCTGTCTCTCGCTGGAAGCTTAGCGGCCTTCAGAGGAATAGACTCTCCTGGTGTCCGCGGCAATGCGACCCCACGTCGCTTTACTACGGTATACGCGACCGGCTCCCACCCTAGAAATGCCAGCACTGGCGAAGAGTCAAATGGCGATGCAGTCGCTGACGGTCGGAGGCCAGACGACAGGCCTGAGGTTTGGGAGCCGTGCTGCGAGTCAGCCGATCAGCTCGACCAGAATCTCTTGTCATTGTCACCATCAGAAGCCCCATGGACGGCTCTGATCCACCGCCTCGCCCTCTGGCGATCGCATCTGAGCCGTCAGTTTCACCTCCCGGAACCGTCAGACATCCTCAGGGAAGCCGGCCGGCTGTTCGTGTCGTTAGCCGTCAGCGCCGTGCTGCTGTCGTCCGTCAGCTTGCCGGCGACGGCGATCGTGCAGGCCCCGCCACGTAAGCTGATGCCGGACGAGCAGGCGACGGTGCAGCTGTTCAACGAGACGACCCCGAGCGTGGTTTACATCACCAACCTGGGGGTCAAGAGGGACGTGTTTACACTTGATGTCATGGAGGTGCCGCAGGGGTCGGGGTCGGGGTTCATCTGGGACCGCGAGGGCCACGTGGTGACGAACTACCACGTGATTCGCAACTCCAGCGACCTAAGGTGAGTAGTTGCGTCTCTGGTGTGACATTGCATGACAAGCACAACATCAATCTAACGCAGTAAAGTGAACGCTGGTGCGGCACTGAATGAACGATGCGCGCAACAAACACCAATGCCGCATGCTGCGCCTTCCTCCTCTTCCTCCCCCCCCCTCCTCTCCGCCCCTCCCTCCTGCATTCACTGTACCCCACGCAGGGTGACCCTGGCGGACCAATCAGTGTACGCTGCTGACGTGGTGGGGTACGACCGCGACAAGGACGTGGCGGTGCTGCACATCGACGCGCCCAGGGGCAAGCTGCGCCCGCTGCGAGTCGGCAGCTCCTTCGACCTGCAAGTGGGGCAGCGCGTCTACGCCATTGGTAACCCGGTGAGTAGGCACGTGCTGTGTGGTGAACAGGTAACCCGGTGAGCATGTGCTGTGTGGTGACCTGATTATCCTGTGAATGTGGAAACTGGGTAACCCATATAAGTGCGCAGCGTGTGGTAACCAGGTGGGACTGGTAACTATTTGTGCTCACATGCCACCAGCCATGACATGATGGGGCATCTGACATGCCATCATGTTCTCATCATTGCCACTCCCCTCTGTGTCCGCCCTTCGCGTGGGCCCTGCATGCAGTTTGGATTGGACCACACCCTCACCACAGGAGTTATCAGGTACGGCTTTTAGTCCTGTATTTTTGTTTCACGACTTCGTTTCTCTGTTTGTTGGTTTGCAATGCACAAGTAGGGGGATTTTTATGGATGCAGCCATCATCTCCTTTTCTTCCTTTCCCCACTCCGCCACATACCTCGTCCCTGCAGTGGTCTGCGGCGGGAGATCAGCTCTGCAGCCACGGGGCGGCCCATCCAGGACGTGATTCAGACGGACGCGGCGATCAACCCGGGCAACAGCGGGGGCCCGCTGCTGGACTCGAATGGCAACCTCATCGGCATCAACACCGCCATCTACTCGCCCTCGGGGGCTTCTTCCGGCGTCGGCTTCTCCATCCCCGCGGACACGGTAAGTCGCTGCTTTGCATTCCTGCACACACAATGCTTCCCCCATGCGCTCCCCTCCCATCCCCCTGTTATCGTTCCCCCTCCCATCCCTCCGCTACTAGGCAGCAGGCATAATGGACTTCCCCATAATGTACTACAGCTTAGTATGCCCAGGCGTTCTCTTCTCTTTTTCCCGCTGCTTTCCTTACCCGTATCCTCCCTGACACTCCCCTTGTCTCTCCTATCGCCCCCCGCATGCGCAGGTGGCGGGCATAGTGGAGCAGATCATCAAGTACGGGCAGGTGACCCGTCCCGTGCTGGGCATCTCCTTGGTGCTCTGAGACACATGACTGCTACTCCCTTTCGTCCTCCCCCTCCCCCCTCTCCTCCCCCTCCTCCCGCCCCCCAGGTGGCGGGCATAGTGGAGCAGATCATCAAGTACGGGCAGGTCGCGCGCCCAGTGCTGGCTGGGCATCTTTGAGAAGACTCACAAACACCCCTCCTGATGTTCCCCACCCACCCCCCCCCCCCCTCTCTCCCCCCTCACCCCCCCCCCCCCCAGGTGGCGGGCATAGTGGAGCAGATCATCAAGTACGGCCAGGTCACGCGCCCAGTGCTGGGCATCTCCTTCGCCCCCGAGCAGTCCCTCGAGCAGCTCGGCGTCTCGGGCGTGCTCGTGCTGGACGCCCCTCCCTCGGGGCCTGCTGGCAAGGCGGTGAGTGCAGGGGAATGAGGGGCCCTTATGTCTCAGCAGCCTGCATGGCACACACCTTATCTCGAGCAGCTGGGCGTCTCTGGCGTGCTCGTGCTAGACGCCCCTCCCTCGGGGCCTGCTGGCAAGGCGGTGAGTGCATTGGTTGCAGGATAATGCGCTGCTCTCCGGTACCGAATCTCTTACGCCAGTCTCTCGAGCAGCTGGGCGTGTCAGGGGTGCTCGTGCTCGCCACCCCTCCCTCTGGCCCAGCGGGGAACGCGGTGAGTGCAGTGGCAGCAGTCACGCGCCCCCAAGTCTCCGGTGCCGCATCCCTCAGGCCAGTCCCTCCAGCACCAGTGCCAAGCGCGGCTGCTCGCCCTTCACACCACGCCCTCTGGCCTGGCAGGCAGGGCGGTGAGTGCAGCATGCATCAATGCACGCACGCTCTCCCATGCTTTCTAGCCAGTGTACGACACTATACTGGTTGTGACTGTATGGGCAGCTTGGCCAACGGTAAGCTTGGCGAAAACGAATTGTGAATTGCGAGTTGTAGACTGGCGGACGAATTTCAGATCAGTTTTCGTGCCACTCGTCTGCCGCCAATTTTGTCAGCTAAACGTGAGATTCCTGTCAAACAGCCGTCAGGCTCGGGAAGACCCGAGGCAACTTTTTTCCACCTCGGGTGTTCCCATCTGACACTAGTGTCAGACACGAGCTCCAGAATATACTCTAATGCGCTCATCTCTCCAGTACTGTATCTCCTAGGCTGATTCCCAAAGCAGCCGGCCGTGTGGGGGGTACGCCCCGCTGTCTGGCCCGGCAGGCCAGGTGGTGAGTGCAGCACGCATCAATACCCGCACATGCTCCCATGCTTTCTAGCCAGTGTATAAAGTGCTTGTGACTGTATGGACAGGCGTGAACTCTACCGAATTACCTTTTGGTGTCTGTGTGCTGGTCCCTGGCAGGGTATCCGCCCCACGACACGTGACAGCTACGGGCGGCTGGTGCTGGGGGACATCATCACAGGCATCGACGGCAACACCGTGCGCAACGGTTCCGACCTCTATCGCATCCTCGACCGCTGCAAGGTCGGCCAGAAGGTGAGTGCACTGCTACATGGAAGAACCCGAACTGCGCCTTGAGTCGACTTGATGGTCACAGCAGCGGCTCGGCTCAGGCGTCTCTGCCACATTCTCGACTGCTGCAAGGTCGGCCAGAATGTGAGCTCTTAGCGACACTCTAGCACCGATTTCAACTGCTGCTGCATCGCATAGTGATGCGACATCGACTGAGAACGTATGTCACAGGTGAAGCCATGGGTGGAGGATGCTATGTTATATCCACGTAAAGAAATGTGCGCCTTATTTTGTCTCTCTGCTGTGGGTGCAGGTGGAGGTGAGAGTGCTGAGAGGGGATGACGAGGTCATCATCAGAATCACCTTGGAAGGGAAGAGCTAAGACTAGCTTCTCAGGAGAACTTAGCTGGAACATGCATACTAGTTTCGTTTTGAGGCTAATGTCATCAATGTTGGACGCTTGATGCGAGGAGGAGAATAATGGTAGGAAGTAATAATGTTGATGGTTGATGTGAGATGATTTCAGATGTAGACGATACATGTAGATATTACATTTGTGTCGCAGTGTCGGCGGATTTCCCAAGACCACCACCACCGCCACTGGCACCACCAAGCCTGACAGGGAGCTTCCATGGTTTCGAAGTTCGGGTTTGACTACCTCAGGTTCTAAAGCTAGTTTGCGTGTGACGTCGAGCAGTTAGTTACGCCAGCAAGCTCAGGCGGACTACTCCGAACGAATAAATCTGGGCCTGGTCGCTCGTCGCACGCACGTGTAGGTACGGCCGACTCTCGTCGTCGTTCGGAATCCGATGAATTCAGGAGATTAGTCAGGATGAACCTGGAGTTTAGCTAAGCACGAAGCAGTAGATTCTCTCACGATGAATTCGGATTCGTACGCCGCATGGATCGACCGCCGTTCGATCCTGCTCTTCGTCGCTGCCGTCTCCGCCGGCGTGGCTGCCGGCGCGACGGCAGCGGTGACGGCGACGGTGTTCCCCTACTCGCTGGGGCTGCTGATCGGCGCGCTGCGGAGCAAGGAAGGAAAGAAGGACTCTAAGACTACCAAGTCCAAGGAGAAGACTAAGAAGTCAAGCGCTAGCAGCAGCAGCGGCGGAATTGGCGGTGTAGGGGGGTTGGGAGTGGGCCCGCTGACCAAGGAAGGGCAGGTGCATCGCGACGTGGTCATGAGCGCCGTGGTCGATCCATCCGCGTCACAAGTCTCCTTCGACTCGTTTCCGTACTATCTCAGGTCCGCTCTCAGGTCGTCACTGGCTGTCACTGCGGGCTGCAACGCGGTTCCTGCTTGTAGGTTGGGTTAGGCGTAGGCAGGATACTTCCAGGATATTTCCGCGGTTCCTTCGACGCGGTTACCCTCGTCGCACGTGGGGTCCTCCCGTCAGCGCCTCTCCCGCGTCAGCCAATCACCAGTTTCCCCCCTCTCCTCGCTATTCTCTCCATCTAGCTCGTCCGCAGGGTCTAGCTCGGCCATGGGGCGTCTAGCTCGGCCATGGGGCGTCTAGCTCGGCCATGGGGCGTCTAGCTCGGCCATGGGGCGTCTAGCTCGGCCATGGGGAGCCTAGCTCGCAGCCTTCTTTCCCATCGCGCCAATCGTGGGATTTCATATCCCGTACGCCACAGCAACTCCCTCCTGGACTCGTGCGCCCTGCCCTCACCGATTTTTCTCTCTAACCTTTCGGCCGGCAACCTCCCTTTCCTCCATAACCCCCCCTGTCCATGTGGCAGCGACGCTACGCGCAACGCCTTGGTGGACTCATGCTTCATCCGCCTGCGCCGCCCCGAGTTCCTGCGCTTCACGGCCGACCTGCCCGCCCTCTCCGCGCGCATCCTGCTCCAAGGGCCCTCAGGTCGCCGTCCTGCCCCTCAGATAGTCCTGTTTTCCGATCGCAATTACGCGTCAGGGAATCAGCGCATCTGTCCACGAGCCGGCTTATCTGCATGGCTGTGTGCAGATTGCATGCATGGTGATGCTCACATGACCCTACCCCTACATGCTCCGCACTGCCGAACCTGCAGGCTCGGAGCGGTACCAGGAGCAGCTGGTTCGGGCGTTGGCTCGGCACCTGGATGCGAAACTTCTGATTTTCGACCTTCCTAACATGCTGCTGCAGGTATGGCCTAGGGTAGTGCTGCAGGTATGGCCTAGGGTAGTGCTGCAGGTATGGCCTAGGGTAGTGCTGCAGGTATGGCCTAGGGTAGTGCTGCAGGTATGGCCTAGGGTAGTGCTGCGGATATGGCTACTGCTGCAGGTAGGGCGTAAGAGAGTGTCACAAATAGGTAGCTTGACTGATGGGAGATTCTGGGTGAAAGATGGGAAAAGTGTCTAGCTGAGGTGGCTGTGTTGGGCCAGGGTACGGTGACAGGACAGCTCGGCATTCAGCGGTCGAAGCTAACCTTGATTGCGTCTGTCTCATGCTCCCCGTGACGCAGGTGGCTCTGGCGACCAAGTCAGGCGGTGCCTTGCCAGAGGCGCTCACGATTGAAGCAGCGCCAGCAGCAGCATCATCATCATCATCATCTGCAGCAGCAGCAGAGGCAGCAGCAGCAGCAACAGCAGAAGCAGCAGCAGCAGAGGCAGCAGAGGCGATCGATGGAGGTGCTGCAGTTGCGACTGCTGCTCCTTGCGAGGAGGCGGGCTCAGGTGTGGGCGGGGGGGATCAAGGAGGGGCAGCAGGAGGAGGAGGCGCAGCAAGAGGAGGAGGGGCAGAAGAGAGGGGTCCAGGGGATGCAGCAGAGCTTTGTGAAAGCGAGGAGGAGGAGGGGGGAGAGGAGAGGAGAGGGGAGGAAAAGCAGGGAGTGGAAGAAGCAGCAAGGGGAGAGGAGACGCGAGAGGCAGCGGGGTTGGGGGAGGCAAAAGGCTCTGGTCTTACAGGTGCGGCAGGAGGGGGAGGGCAGGGTGGTGCTGGGGGAGGTAGTGATCAGGGGGGTGCTGAATCTGCCTTGGAATCGCAAGTAACGGAATCACAATTACAGCTAGCTGCTGACATGGCAGGCGATGGACCTGCTGACGAGGCGGCTGACATGGCAGAGGCAGCGGTGGTGGAAAGCTTGTTTCCAGGGGAAGGAGGCGAGCTGGCTGAGGTGAGGGAGGAGGAGCAGGAGGGCGAGAGGGAGGAGGCGGAGAGGGAGGAGGCGGAGAGGGAGGGTGAGGTGGACGGGGGAGAGGCGGGAGAGCAGCGGTGCGTGCAGGGAGCAGGCGGGGAGGCAGGGGGCGTTTGTGGTGCAGCGCGTGTGTATGGATCGAGTGCTACCTCTGCTGCCAGTGCTGCGTGCTGCAGTGCACCGCAGCCCACGGCTGCTGCTGCTGCAGCTGATGTTAGCACCAACGCTGGTGCTTCTACTGACGCTATTGTCAGGTCCAACGACAGAGAGCATACGCCCAGTGACGGTGGTGGTGGTGGTGCTGCTGCCAGTTCCCAGCCGGACAGCATACCCCCCACCAGCACCAGCACCAGCACCAGCAAAAAGCTGAGCAAGTCGTCGAGTAAACCGAGCAGTGGAGGCGGGGGAGCGGGAGGAGTGGACCTGAGAGCTGTGAAGCTCAAGGAGCTGTCTTCCTCCCTCATCCCCCGCTCGCACTCCCACCACTCCAAGGCGTCCTCCTCCTCGTCTTCCTCCTCGTCCTCGCATCATAAGAAGAAGAGCAGCAGCAGCAGCAGCAAGGGAGCCAAGAGCTCAGCGAAGGAGGGAGGGGGTGAGGTGGAGGGTGCAGGGAAGGGCGGAAGAGGGGAGGCGAGTAGTGGGGCAGCGGTGGCGGCTACAGTGCACAAGGCGAAGAGCAAGGGGGAGAAGGAGAAGGAGGGCGCTGGGAGCGAGGCGAAGAGGAGCGGCGAGAGTAGTGTGGAGGGGTCAAAGAGGAGCTTCAAGAAAGGTACTGGGGAGAGACAAACGGGTGGGCTCATGCAGGAAAGCTTCCATTCGCCTCCCTCTTCTCGTCCCCTCATTCCGTCCTTTCTCCCCCCCCCCCCCCCCCCACCCCCCACCCACAATAATCTCACCTTCTCTTTCTCACTCCCCCCCTCCCCAAGGCGACAGAGTGTGGTACATGGGCCTATCCTCTCCAGTGCTGCTGCACCCACTCACTCTCTCCCCTCCTCCATCTCCCCCCTCGCCTCTCTCCCTTCGCCCCTTATCCCCTCCCCTTCTCTCCCCCCTCCCCCAGGCGACAGGGTGCGCTACATGGGCCCATCCTCTCTCTCCACTGCAGCACCGCCACCACCCTCAGCGTCGCTCCTCCCACCCTCAATGTCAGCACGCGACCTCCTTGCTCCCCCGGGTCCCACGCTCTGCCTCCTCAGTCCGTCCCCATACTCTCTGCGCATTTCTCCGCCCGCCTCACATTTCCAGTCCCCATGGGCATCGTCTTGTTTGTCCTTGGCGAGTCGCCTCGCTCCTTGACCTGGCCCTGCCGCCGCACCTCTCTCCGCCCTTCCACCCAACCGCCACCCTCTCGACACCATCCCCCCCATTGCGTTCCAATCAGGCGCGGCCCACCTCTGGGTCTCAAGGGGCGAGTGGTGCTGGTGCTGGAGGAGAACCCGCACCGAGTGGGTGTGCGCTTTGACAAGCCCATCCCGGGCGGCAGCAGCCTGGTGGAGGTGTGCGACGAGGGGCACGGCGCATGGTGCCACGGTGAGAAGCAGGGCGTAGGGTAAGAGCCTGGCAGGTAAGGAAAGGCATGGTTTGTGTTTCCTCCCGCATTCTCCACTCAACTCAACAACTGCCTCTCTATACCTTTCCCTCTTTCTTTTCCTGCCCCTCACCGCCTGCCTCCTCCTTCCCCTTTTCTTCCCCCTGCTCGCCGTGCCCCAGCGTCCAAGCTGTGCATGGAGTGGAGGGCGTGGCAGCACAGCAGCAGCACCGCTGGAGCTCTCTCCACCTCTCCCAGTTTCTCCCGTACTCTCTCCTCCTCACGCCCCTCCCCTCCGCCCTCCTCCCCCGTGCGCCAGTGTCGGAGTTGAGGATGGAGGGGGCGGCAGCAGACGACGCGGAGAAGCAGCTGGTGGACCACTGCATGGCGGTGAGTGGGGTGCTGCATGGCATTGAGTGGGGCGCTGCATGGCGGATGGTAGGGAGCAGGTGACATTGGCAAGTGGGGTGAAGACTTGTGAGTGGGGACATGCAATGGCAGCGGACGGATGCCCGAGGTTCCACCCTCCCCCCCCCTTCCACTCACACATCTTCTGCACCTGTCTCTTGTGCTGCCAGGTAGCACCGACGGTAGCGGCCTCGTCGCCGCTCATTGTGTTCATCCCAGGGGCCGACAGAGTGGCAGCAGCGCACTGCGAGAGGCTCGTGAGGCTCGTTGATCCTTACTAGTGACATTTTGTCCCATCATTTCACCCCTATGCCTTGCGTTGGCAGGTGGCGGCCACAGTGGCGGCCTCGTCCCCTCTCATTGTGTTCATCCCAGGGGCCGACAGAGTGGCAGCGGCGCACTACGAGAGGCTCGTGAGGCTTGAGAGGATGGAACGCGTGGGGGTGGTGGGGGAGAGAGGCGCGGAGAAGGGGAAGGAGGGGAAGGAGGGGAAGGAGGGGAAGGAGGGGAAGGAGGGGAAGGAGGGGAAGGAGGCAAAGGAGGCGAAGGAAAAGTTCGAGCCATTGAGGCTGGTGGTGATTGGCGCTCACACAGTGCTGCCCAAGAAGGACAAGGTGGGCGGCACTGTGGCAGGCCCTGTGCATGGTGTTGCTGCTGCTGCTGGATAGCATGGCATGTGCCCACGGCATGCATGCATCCCATAGCAGCACGTCTCCAGACTCCAGCCCACCAGCGCGAGTCCGCTCGCCCCATCATTTTAGCACCTGTTCTGTTTCTCCGCCCCGCTGCTCTCCCCTTGGCCTTGGCTTCGTCATCTTCCTCAGACCCCAAGCCCATCGCCAAGCCCATCGCCAAGCCCATCGCCAAGCCCATCGCCAAGCCCATCGCCAAGCCCATCGACAAGCCCATCGCCAAGCTCTCAGCTCTCCTCTATCCTTTTCTCCCGTCTTGCCACCCCTTCCCCCCTCCCCCCTCCCCCCACCTTCCCTGTCCCAGGCGCCAGCAGCCCCCTCAGCCCCCAAGCCCACAGACAAGCTCTCGGCTCTCTTCGACCTCTCCTTCCTGGTGGGCCATCAGCTGCAGCTACTCGCACGCACTTCCATGGCGTGCATGCCGTTGGACGACTGCCCAATCGCATACTAGGAGGAAGGCGTGGTTGCATGGGAGGGGGGCGTGGTTGCATGGGAGGGGGGCGTGGTTGCAAGGGAGGGGGGCGTGGTTGCATGGGAGGGGGGCGTGGTTGCATGGGAGGGGGGCGTGGTTGCATGGGAGGGGGGCGTGGTTGCATGGGAGGGGGGCGTGGTTGCATGGGAGGGGGGCGTGGTTGCTTGGGAGGGGGGCGTGGTTGCATGGGAGGGGGGCGTGGTTGCATGGGAGGGGGGCGTCGTTGTACGGTCTACCGTCTTCTGTTTTCCGTCTTCTGTGGACCTTCTACCGCGGGGCGTGGTTGCACGGCGTTGTGGTTGCATAGTAGGGTTGTGTGGTTATTGCACAGTAGGGGGCGGTGGTTGCACGCTAGGGGGGCGTGGTTGCATAGTAGGGGGTTGTGGTCGCACAGTGGGGGGGCCGTGGTTGCATACCAGAGGGGCGTGGTTGCACAGTAGGGGGCAAGGTTAAATACTATGGTTTTTGGAAAATACGCGCCGTTTTTTCCAGGGATTTTGGAAAAAAACTCCTTTTTTATTAGAACATTTTGATTTGTACTTTATTTTTTGGTAGACAACCTAATCGTCCGCCAAATCCACGCATTTCGGCTGACGAAACGCCAGATCTGTGCATTTCGTCCACCAAAAACGCAAGATCTGGCACATTTTGGCGGGCGAAATGGCAGATCTGCACATTTCGCTGGATTGTTTTGCATTAAAAAAAATAATAAAAAAATTCTCTTCGGCCGTATTTTTAACAAACCCAAAAATCGCCGTTTTCATCGTTTTTTCTTCCGGTAGTATAAGACCATTTAATTCAGTACCGTTTAACATGGATTTTTTTTGAAAATAATGACGTATTTTTTAACCTTGGTAGGGGGTGTCATTGCACAGTAGGGGGGCGTGGTTGCGTGCAACGAGGGGTTGGTTGGTTTCTGCCCGGACGCTTAGAGATTCGGTTGTGATGAAGGCACCTAAAGGCGTCGGCCATCCAAGGCTGGCAGCAAGTACCCTCACCGCTGAACCTGCACTCAACCTGCCCTTTGTTCCCGCATCTCCCACTACCGCATCTCCCACTACCGCATCTCTCACTACCGCATCTCCCACTACCGGATCTCCCACTACCGGCTCTCCCACTACCGGCTCTCCCACTACCGGCTCTCCCACTACCGGCTCTCCCACTACCGGCTCTCCCACTACCGGCTCTCCCTCTACCGGCTCTCACACTACCGGCTCTCCCACTACCGGCTCTCCCTCTACCGGCTCTCCCACTACCGGCTCTCCCACTACCGGCTCTCCCACTACCGGCTCTCCCACTACCGGCTCTCCCACTACCGGCTCTCCCACTACCGGCTCTCCCACTACCGGCTCTCCCACTACCGGCTCTCCCACTACCGGCTCTCCCACTACCGGCTCTCCCTCTACCGGCTCTCCCACTACCGGCTCTCCCTCTACCGGCTCTCCCACTACCGGCTCTCCCTCTACCGGCTCTCCCACTACCGGCTCTCCCACTACCGGCTCTCCCACTACCGGCTCTCCCACTACCGGCTCTCCCACTACCGGCTCTCCCACTACCGGCTGCCCCTGCGCCAGGAGACGGGCGTGACGAGGTCGGCACTGCCAGGGCAGGCAGCAGAGCGCCGACGTGACTCTTCTTGAGGCGCTTCTTGCCTAACTCAACCTGCCCTCCTGTTCCGTTCTCCCATCTCCCAGGACCAGCTGTCCTACCGCCTAGAGGGCTGCCGTGGGAAAGGGGGCGCTGCCAAGGCGGGCAGCAGAGCAATGTCATGGCTGCTTGCTTAAAAGGGGCGTTGTCTTGCGCACTTCATGCCTAACTGAACCTGCACTCCGTTTCGTTCTCCCATCTCGCAGGACCAGCTGTCCTACCGCCTAGAGGGCTGCCGTGGGAAAGGGGGCGCTGCCAAGGCGGGCAGCAGAGCAATGTCATGGCTGCTTGCTTAAAAGGGGCGTTGTCTTGCGCACTTCATGCCTAACTGAACCTGCACTCCGTTTCGTTCTCCCATCTCGCAGGACCAGCTGTCCTCGCGCTTAGAGGACGGCCGTGGGGAAGGCGGCGCAGGCAAGGCGGGCAGCAGGGCGGTGTCGCGGCTCTTTCCCACGTGCATCCCAGTGCTGCCGCCCGCGCAAGACGATGACGTGGCGCAGCGCGATTGGGCACGGCAGCTGGAGGGCGACGTGGAGCTGATGCGTGCAGAGAGCAACCGGCGCACGCTCAGATCGGTGGGTTGATGGTGGGGTGATGGGTGGGCGGGGTGTGGGGAATCAGACGGGTGGGTGGGTGGGTGAATGCAGACAAGCGGCAGGGCAGCTGGTGGGTGACGTGGAGCTGATGCGTGTGGAGAGCAGCCGGCACACTGCGATGGGGGTTGGGTGGGTGGGGTGTGGAGACGATGGGTCAGATCGGTGGGCTTGTTCACGCAAGAACGCTTTGCCTTGCGTGAATAGACTCGCCGCAATGTCTGCTTCCCCCGGCTCACGTGGTGTGTGTGTGCAGGTGATGTGCAGCGCGGGAGTGGAGTGTGCCGACATCGACAGACTTTCCATCGCCTCGCACTCCCTCCCCCAGGATGGTCAGTCACCCTGCCCTGTGCGCCTGCTGCTGAGTGCCCTCGTGTGTGTTTGTGCATGTGTATATGCCCACATCTGATGGGCCACAAGCCATGAGCTGCACTGTGGATGCAGGTGTATGTATGGTATGTGCCGATGGTCACATGCCCTTGACCCTAACCCCATCCCTTTGTCATCGTTGTGCGCACATCAGGTGCAGAGCGCATGGTGGGGTGGGCCATAAGCCACCAGCTGCAGCACAGCCCACCGTGCGATGTGCCTGCTGCCCGCCTGCCCCTCGCCCTCTCCAGGTGCGCTTTGTAACCTGGTATTTATTGCACCCATCTTCATGAGCAGTAGCATCCATCTTCTCGTAACAAATTAACGCTGACTCCTCTTTGTGAAATCGTTCGCCCACTCTGCTGGTGTTTTTCTATCCTCCTGTGTTTCGTTTTCAACACCCTCTCGGGCCATCCTCACTGGGTGGCAGTATTCGGCACGGAGTGGCGGTGGTGGAGGGGGCGTCTCAGCAGCAGCCAGCCACACAGTGCAAGGCGCTCAAGGTCACACTCTCACCTCTCAGCTGCTGACAACACTCAACGTTGATCTCCTCTAAGGGCTCTGGGGCTGTTAGGCGCGCTCACTCTCGTTTGTTGCTCACTCTCTTATTTCTCACTCCCTCACTCTCGTTGTGTCGCTTAGCTGCTGCTTACTGTATTATCGCCACTCTATTCCCTATTCCGTATCGCCACTCTATTCCCTATTCGGTATCGCCACTCTATTCCCTATTCCGTATCGCCACTCTATTCCCTATTCCGTATCGCCACTCTATTCCCTACTCCGTATCGCCACTCTATTCCCTATTCGGTATCGCCACTCTATTCCCTATTCCGTATCGCCACTCTATTCCCTATTCCGTATCGCCACTCTATTCCCTATTCCGTATCGCCACTCTATTCCCTATTCCGTATCGCCACTCTATTCCCTATTCCGTATCGCCACTCTATTCCCTATTCCGTATCGCCACTCCATTCCCTATTCCGTATCGCCACTCTATTCCCTATTCCGTATCGCCACTCTATTCCCTATTCCGTATCGCCACTCTATTCCCTATTCCGTATCGCCACTCTATTCCCTATTCCGTATCGCCACTCTATTCCCTATTCCGTATCGCCACTCTATTCCCTATTCCGTATCGCCACTCCATTCCCTATTCCGTATCGCCACTCCATTCCCTATTCCGTATCGCCACTCTATTCCCTATTCCGTATCGCCACTCTATTCCCTATTCCGTATCGCCACTCTATTCCCTATTCCGTATCGCCACTCTATTCCCTATTCCGTATCGCCACTCTATTCCCTATTCCGTATCGCCACTCTATTCCCTATTCCGTATCGCCACTCCATTCCCTATTCCGTATCGCCACTCTATTCCCTATTCCGTATCGCCACTCTATTCCCTATTCCGTATCGCCACTCCATTCCCTATTCCGTATCGCCACTCTATTCCCTATTCCGTATCGCCACTCGATTCCCTATTCCGTATCGCCACTCTATTCCCTATTCCGTATCGCCACTCTATTCCCTATTCCGTATCGCCACTCTATTCCCTATTCCGTATCGCCACTCTATTCCCTATTCCGTATCGCCACTCTATTCCCTATTCCGTATCGCCACTCTATTCCCTATTCCGTATCGCCACTCTATTCCCTATTCCGTATCGCCACTCTATTCCGTATTCCGTATCGCCACTCTATTCCCTATTCCGTATCGCCATTCTATTCCCTATTCCGTATCGCCACTCTATTCCCTATTCCGTATCGCCACTCTATTCCCTATTCCGTATCGCCACTCTATTCCCTATTCCGTATCGCCACTCTATTCCCTATTCCGTATCGCCACTCTATTCCCTATTCCGTATCGCCACTCTATTCCCTATTCGGTATCGCCACTCTATTCCCTATTCCGTATCGCCACTCTATTCCCTATTCCGTATCGCCACTCTATTCCCTATTCCGTATCGCCACTCTATTCCCTATTCCGTATCGCCACTGCATTCCCTATTCCGTATCGCCACTCTATTCCCTATTCCGTATCGCCACTCTATTCCCTATTCTGTATCGCCACTCTATTCCCTATTCCGTATCGCCCCTCTATTCCCTATTCAGTATCGCCCCTCTATTCCCTATTCCGTATCGCCACTCTATTCCCTATTCCGTATCGCCCCTCTATTCCCTATTCAGTATCGCCACTCTATTCCCTATTCCGTATCGCCACTCTATTCCCTACTCCGTATCGCCACTCTATTCCCTATTCCGTATCGCCACTCTATTCCCTATTCCGTATCGCCACTCTATTCCCTATTCCGTATCGCCACTCCATTCCCTATTCCGTATCGCCACTCTATTCCCTATTCCGTATCGCCACTCGATTCCCTATTCCGTATCGCCACTCTATTCCCTATTCCGTATCGCCACTCTATTCCCTATTCCGTATCGCCACTCTATTCCCTATTCCGTATCGCCACTCTATTCCCTATTCCGTATCGCCACTCTATTCCCTATTCCGTATCGCCACTCTATTCCCTATTCCGTATCGCCACTCTATTCCCTATTCCGTATCGCCACTCTATTCCCTATTCCGTATCGCCACTCTATTCCCTATTCCGTATCGCCACTCATTCCCTATTCCGTATCGCCACTCTATTCCCTATTCCGTATCGCCACTCTATTCCCTATTCCGTATCGCCACTCTATTCCCTATTCCGTATCGCCACTCTATCTCTATTCCCTATTCCGTATCGCCACTCCATTCCCTATTCCGTATCGCCACTCTATTCCCTATTCCGTATCGCCACTCTATTCCCTATTCCGTATCGCCACTCTATTCCCTATTCCGTATCGCCACTCTATTCCCTATTCCGTATCGCCACTCTATTCCCTATTCCGTATCGCCACTCTATTCCCTATTCCGTATCGCCACTCCATTCCCTATTCCGTATCGCCACTCATTCCCTATTCCGTATCGCCACTCGATTCCCTATTCCGTATCGCCACTCATTCCCTATTCCGTATCGCCACTCTATTCCCTATTCCGTATCGCCACTCTATTCCCTATTCCGTATCGCCACTCTATTCCCTATTCCGTATCGCCACTCTATTCCCTATTCCGTATCGCCACTCTATTCCCTATTCCGTATCGCCACTCTATTCCCTATTCCGTATCGCCACTCTATTCCCTATTCCGTATCGCCACTCTATTCCCTATTCCGTATTGCCACTCTATTCCCTATTCCGTATCGCCACTCTATTCCCTATTCCGTATCGCCACTCTATTCCCTATTCCGTATCGCCACTCTATTCCCTATTCCGTATCGCCATTCTATTCCCTATTCCGTATCGCCACTCTATTCCCTATTCCGTATCGCCACTCTATTCCCTATTCGGTATCGCCACTCTATTCCCTATTCCGTATCGCCACTCTATTCCCTATTCCGTATCGCCACTCTATTCCCTATTCCGTATCGCCACTCTATTCCCTATTCCGTATCGCCACTCTATTCCCTATTCCGTATCGCCACTCTATTCCCTATTCCGTATCGCCACTCTATTCCCTATTCCGTATCGCCACTCTATTCCCTATTCCGTATCGCCACTCTATTCCCTATTCCGTATCGCCACTCCATTCCCTATTCGGTATCGCCACTCTATTCCCTATTCCGTATCGCCACTCTATTCCCTATTCCGTATCGCCACTCTATTCCCTATTCCGTATCGCCACTCCATTCCCTATTCCGTATCGCCACTCTATTCCCTATTCCGTATCGCCACTCTATTCCCTATTCCGTATCGCCACTCTATTCCCTATTCCGTATCGCCACTCTATTCCCTATTCCGTATCGCCACTCTATTCCCTATTCCGTATCGCCACTCTATTCCCTATTCCGTATCGCCACTCTATTCCCTATTCCGTATCGCCACTCCATTCCCTATTCCGTATCGCCACTCCATTCCCTATTCCGTATCGCCACTCGATTCCCTATTCCGTATCGCCACTCGATTCCCTATTCCGTATCGCCACTCTATTCCCTATTCCGTATCGCCACTCTATTCCCTATTCCGTATCGCCACTCTATTCCCTATTCGGTATCGCCACTCTATTCCCTATTCCGTATCGCCACTCTATTCCCTATTCCGTATCGCCACTCTATTCCCTATTCCGTATCGCCACTCTATTCCCTATTCCGTATCGCCACTCTATTCCCTATTCCGTATCGCCACTCTATTCCCTATTCCGTATCGCCATTCTATTCCCTATTCCGTATCGCCACTCTATTCCCTATTCCGTATCGCCACTCTATTCCCTATTCCGTATCGCCACTCTATTCCCTATTCCGTATCGCCACTCTATTCCCTATTCCGTATCGCCACTCTATTCCCTATTCCGTATCGCCACTCTATTCCCTATTCCGTATCGCCACTCTATTCCCTATTCCGTATCGCCACTCTATTCCCTATTCCGTATCGCCACTCCATTCCCTATTCCGTATCGCCACTCTATTCCCTATTCCGTATCGCCACTCTATTCCCTATTCCGTATCGCCACTCTATTCCCTATTCCGTATCGCCCCTCTATTCCCTATTCCGTATCGCCACTCTATTCCCTATTCCGTATCGCCACTCTATTCCCTACTCCGTATCGCCACTCTATTCCCTATTCCGTATCGCCACCTCTATTCCCTATTCCGTATCGCCACTCTATTCCCTATTCCGTATCGCCACTCTATTCCCTATTCCGTATCGCCACTCTATTCCCTATTCCGTATCGCCACTCTATTCCCTATTCCGTATCGCCACTCTATTCCCTATTCCGTATCGCCACTCTATTCCCTATTCCGTATCGCCACTCTATTCCCTATTCCGTATCGCCACTCTATTCCCTATTCCGTATCGCCACTCCATTCCCTATTCCGTATCGCCACTCTATTCCCTATTCCGTATCGCCACTCTATTCCCTATTCCGTATCGCCACTCTATTCCCTATTCCGTATCGCCACTCTATTCCCTATTCCGTATCGCCACTCTATTCCCTATTCCGTATCGCCACTCCATTCCCTATTCCGTATCGCCACTCTATTCCCTATTCCGTATCGCCACTCTATTCCCTATTCCGTATCGCCACTCTATTCCCTATTCCGTATCGCCACTCTATTCCCTATTCCGTATCGCCACTCTATTCCCTATTCCGTATCGCCACTCTATTCCCTATTCCGTATCGCCACTCTATTCCCTATTCCGTATCGCACTCTATTCCCCTATTCCGTATCGCCACTCCATTCCCTATTCCGTATCGCCACTCCATTCCCTATTCCGTATCGCCACTCGATTCCCTATTCCGTATCGCCACTCGATTCCCTATTCCGTATCGCCACTCTATTCCCTATTCCGTATCGCCACTCTATTCCCTATTCCGTATCGCCACTCTATTCCCTATTCGGTATCGCCACTCTATTCCCTATTCCGTATCGCCACTCTATTCCCTATTCCGTATCGCCACTCTATTC